TTGCTGGAGGAATGATTCACGAAATAAAACTTACAAAGACAAAACTCTAAACGAGGTGCTGGAGGACAGGACATTACAAACACACAGCAAGTTGATGGTACGACGCGACACTGACACAGAGAAACACAGGGCTTAAATACACAGATGGCAGTAATCAAGGATGAGAGACAGGAGGGGAACACACCTGGGAGAAATCACAGCTGACGAGACAGGGGAACGTAAACTGAGCACACTCACATACGACACAGACTTCACAATAAAACAGGAAACTCAGACACATGGAACCAGACAAGAATTGAACTAAACAGACAGATTCACAAACAGACGGGGTGACACCATAGATAGACAGATACAGACGCAGACTCAGAGGCAGACCGAATATAACACGTAGAACTCAAACAATAATAATAATAATCATGATAATAAATTGGAAATGATAATAATAAACTTAAAGCGCTGGGTCACCGACCCAGGACCATGACAGTATCAGCACGTGATGCTGTTTTATCTAGCTGCGATGGGATTTGGAAGTGTTTACAGTTTGTCTGAGGTTATCTGGTTCAGGTTAGATTTACAGTTACATTAAACATCCTTAAAAAGTTTAAATAAAAGGTCACAAACTGCTCAGAATGGTTTCACTTTCAGTTCTGTGACAGATGCCGAGCAGAGCTCATGAAAAGATCGGTTTACAAAGTGTATATTATCAGTGACTTCTTCAGGCACACCTGTTCAATTGTTTACTAACCAAATATGTAATGAGGAAATTACATGACAGCAACTCGGTGCATGTAGACATTCAGATACAGTGCTCAGCATAAATGAGTACACTCCCTTCAAAAAGCACAAATTAAATCAGTAGCTCAATGAACAAAAGAACAATTTCCAAAATTTTCACACGACTGAGTTTTATTGAACACTTGTTTAACTCCATAACATGAAATTAAGGTTAATAATATAACTTAGATCACAAAATCTTCAGTTTTACTAAAATTGGATGAAGCAAAATGAATACACCCCGCAACACAAACTACTACATCTAGTATTTTGTATGACCACCGTGATTTTCAAGGACAGCATCAAGTCACGGAATGAACAAGTTGCGACATATTGCAACATTATCTTTTTCCATTCTTCAAGAATAACCTCTTTTAGAGCCTGGATGCTGGATGGAGAGTGATGCTCAATTTGCCGCTTCAGAATTCCCCACAGGTGTTCGATTGGGTTCAGATCAGGAGAAATACTTGGCCATTCAATCATCTTCACCCTGTCCTTCCTCAGAAATGCAGCAGTAGCTTTAGATGTGTGTTTTGGATCATTGTCGTGTTGGAAAAGTGGATGACGACCAAGTGCACGGAGTGATGGCAGCATCTTCTTCTTCAGAATAGAGCAGTACATTGTTGAGTTCATGATACCATCAATGAAATGCAGCTCCCCAACACCAGCAGCACTCATGCAGGCCCACATAAGGACACTGCCACCACCATGTTTCACTGTAGGCACCATGCATTTGTCTTTGAAATCCTCACGTTTATGACACCATACAGTTTTGAAACCATTAGTTCCAAAAACAGTGATCTTTGTCTCATCACTCCAGAGTATAGAGTCCCAGTAGTCTTCATCTTTTTCAGCATGGGCCCTAGCAAATTCTAGGCGTGCTTTTTTGTGCATGGGCTTTAGGAGAGACTTCCTTCATGGACGATACACCTATGCATGCCATTCCTCTGCAGTGTATGCCGTATGGTGTCACGGGAAACGGTCACTCCAGTTTGGCTTTCTACTGCTTTAGCGAACTGCAGTGAACTTGCATGGTGATTTCTTCAACCCTTCCTTCTCATCAGGAGACGCTCCCATTGAGATGTTAACTTTTGTGGACGGCCTGGATGTCTAAGATGGCTGCGCTTCAATCTTTGTTACATTTTGTGATCACTTTTGCTACAGTATTTTGACTGATATGTAAACCTTTGCTGATCTTGTATCCCTCACCTTTTTTGTGTAAAGAAATTATTTCCTTTCTCAGATTTTGTGACATTTCTCTTCCATGTGGAGCCATTGCTGGCAGTATGAAATGGGAAGGGCTTTTCCTTGTTAAGTAATGCCCTTTTATGGTCACCTGTCTGCTGGACACCTCGTAAATGAATCATTAGACTCACCTTTGGTTGAATGCCTGGTAATTCGAATTTTGTAGTCTTAAGTGTGGCTTTTCTCCTTAGACTATAATTGGGGTGTACTCATTTTTGCAACATGGGCTTGAATGAGTCCCCACACACACACACACACACACACACACACACACACACACACACACACACACACACACACACACACACACACACACACACACACACACACACACACACACACACACAAAAAGGATTTTCCTAACAAATTAACAAATCTTGTTTGCAATCAATGGCCCACATTTGTGGGAGTATTTTTGTATTATAGTATCTCATAGAAAATGTTGATTCTGAAAGGAAACTAAAGGTTTTCTGACAAATGTAAAGGGGTGCACTCATTTATGCTGAGCACTGTATCTTGAGACAATGAACCAAACTGCTGAAACTTTAATGTTTGTGCCACCAATAATCAGCTTTCTGGGAAAAAACAAAAAAACAAAACAAAACTGAGAAGCATTGTGGTGAGTCAAAGGTAAGGACTGAAGAAATCAATGTGACTCAAGACAAGAGGAAATTACACATCTTAGTCAGGCAGTTGTCAATTCCCCTGCCCCAGAAAATAGTGAAGATTACAGTATATGGTGACATAATGACACACGGTACCATTATAAGATTTTCTAGTGTTTCTTTTACCCAATTTAGAAACAAATATTCCAGTATGACTAGATGAATGCACAAGGTTTGAAAGTAGCTTCTTAATTGTAGGAGAAATGAAAACTTGGCAGTATACGCACGGGACTTCACACCAATAGGTCTGCTCTTTAACACCATGGCTGCATAGATTGTGTGGTGAATTCAAAACAAAGCACTAAGAGCTAAAATGCTAAAATGAATGTAATAAACACAGAAGACATGCTAGCATCATGTATTTATGTAGACAAAACACAGAACCTGAGATAACATTCCCAGTATCCACAACCGGGGAAAGAAAAAAATCTTTGATTATTTGGAATAAGAATATTTCAGTCCATCAGCATTTCATCAAGATGCTAAAACTAGGAGATGTTAGTCAAAAGATCAAAATAGTCAACTTTCAGTTCACATGCAAACAGAACTATCAGAGGCTAAATTATGGAGGAAACCTCTCCTCTGTAACACCCTCTGCTGGAAGTGCATAAAAATCCACCCGATACATGTGACATTTGCCTGACAGAACAAAACTAAAAATGACAAGGGTCTTTTTTTTTTTTTCCTTTTTAGCTTATGTAGCAGGTATTTGGGGAAAAAGGGTAAAAAACAGACATCACTACACATACATATACAACCAAGTACAAAAGTGAGTATAAAAATAAGAATTGCGACTCAAAAGTAGTAGTTCAACTTGTGCAAACATGTCTGCGAGAAAATAAAACTATATGATCGTTAACTTGTCAGCTTGGCAGAACAAAATGATCAGGGAAACTGAGGACGACAAGTCTATACCACTAAAACTGGTTAGGTAGTCAACTAGGCAGTGAAACCTCAAAACTAAAACGTACCATCAGGCACAGATCTAGAACGTCATAAACAACATGCAACCCTTTTTTGCAAGTAAACAAGACATTTTAAAAAAGTACTACTCGTAAAGCAAGAATGCATGTGATGAAGCCATTAGGTGCTGACGCTACCTGAACTTCTACATCTACAAAATTCCCTTTACAACAACCAAAATGTCATTTCATGTTGTCCTTTAAATCAGGTAAAAACAAAGTACCCACTGATTTGTCACGCTTCGTACACTAGTGACTGGTGCAAGGAAATAAGTGAACAGCAGATAAATATCTTTGATAAGATGAAAAAAATAATTAAACAGATGCAGTTTAAAAATAAGGAACAGTATCAACAAAGTTACTGTTGTGGCGTCTTTGAGGAAATAACTGTGCAGGAAGTGAGCAGTCAGTCAAACAAATCAAGTGAAAGTTTACAGAAAAATAAGTGAGCAGTGCTGCTGTAAGACAGCACAGTGTCTCAATTATTTTTGGCTAAGACAAATGTAAATATCTTTGGGTAATAACAGAACTAAATTTGTTTAGTTTAGAAGTGTTGCAATTAAGGAAACTCAGAGCACTCTCCTTTGCATTGTGACTCATTTTCTCAATAACCTTCAACATCAAGCCCTTTTCAGACATCCAGTGGTTTCCTTTAATCTCGCTGCATCTGAAAGTCTCAGATTTGCTAACATTTATCCATCACTTTCAACATGACGAGTGAATACCTGATTACAATGGCTCGCATGCATTTATTTATTTTTTGCTGATCAGCTCACTACAGAGCATCCTAGATAACAACAAGCAGCACATAAACAGCACTTTATCCGTTACTAGTTTGTATAAACACTCAATTATTCCTCCCATAAGCATTTTTTGCTATGCCTAATTCAAAAGCAGCTCTCTGCAGCAGTGTTGTGTTGTAGGGGAAGCTCCAGCAGCACAAACAGATGACCCATTTGTGGTTGTGCAAGATTTAAGCCTTTAAAACTATGATTGCTCTCAACTAGAGTTGATGCTGGAAATATAAATTCAAGTCTTTTGCAGGGGTGCACAAGTCTCAATGAAGCTCTAATGAACATTAGTGATGCCATCGCATGGCTGAAAAGGGCAACAATGTTATTTGTTTGTACCTGTGTGGCAAAAGAATGAGCTACGATTTAAAAAAGAAAAGAAAAAGAAATCTAGACATCTGTCCCAGACCACTCTGTTCATTTCCAAATAAACGACCTGGAGCCGTTTTATAAAGCTAGCCCCTCTCCAGAACTTTCTCCCATCACAGTGGTGGCTGCAGGAGGATCTGGACGAACAGCCCAGGTGTTAGAGGAGACCATCTGACAGGAGCTTGTTCCCTGGTTCAAGCAGTTGCTTGCTGGAGAGCCAAAGCTTCTGAAAAACATGTCCATGGAGGGGAGCAGGGGCTTAGGGAGGCTGACTGGGCAAAAGGCTGAACCCCCATAGGGGTGAAGTTTACCTTGTTGGGGTCGGGGCAGGAGGAGATGAGGGCCATCGTGGGTTTCTGTGGAGAGCTAAAGAAGAAAAGGAGAAGAAAAACTTATGTCCATAAAAGTGATGCAAAAAGTTTGGTTACATTCAGTGCACACAGTCAGATTTCTTACATTTAGTTCAACAGCATTTCTTTATCATGTGGAAAAATTGAGACATAATGTTGACTCTGCACTTCTTTTTTTAAATGTTACGATATCTCTGGGATTAAATGTGGTTAAACTTCTTTTCACTGACAGAAAGGGAAGTTTCACTGGTCCAGCAAACTTAAGATCAGAGTGACTTGTATGCAGCTCACAATGTAAAATGAGTTTGACATCCCTGATCTTTGTAGTCGCTGCTTGTGCTTACATGTCAACATGCACGAGGCTTTACTCAAGCCAAAATTTTCCCCTAGAAGTCACGGACCCACTAGAAAAGAAAAACTAAAATACCAGGCAACAGAGTTTTGTAATTGTTGATTCCTTTTAATGAGTAACGACTAGTAATTTCACACTGTAAGATTCAGACCAAGTTAAAAACAAGGAGGACTTCGAATGCTTTAGTGCTGACAACATGAAGTGTTGCAACATCATCAACTTGTCTGTTTGGCAGAACAAAACTCCCAAGCTGAACAAACAAACTGCTTTGAGGGGGGACTGTTCTTACATCTACAGTTAATGCCACTAACTCACTCTAACAGAGTACAAGGTAAACTCTGACTCAACTAAAAACTATGACGTCATGCAGGAGATCACATTCAACTTTGGGTAAAGACACTGAATTAGTTGTTTTTCTAGTGTTTATTTTTAAATGTGACCACCAGGGGGCATCTACATGCTGACCGTGTTAAATGACAGGGAGTATACAGTATTTGTCTAATTATATTTCATTATCCAGAGGTGATTCATCTGTCTCCCTCTAGCATGCAAACAAAGCAAAATGAATAAAAACCTACCTGATCTCCTCCCACACTCTCACCCTTTCACAGCCCTCTGGAGGTTTTCTCTGGAAGCAGCAGCTTTTGTTGGGCCCGGGAGATGAGGCGTTCAGGAGAGGAGAAAGGTCAGCCTCATTCTGGGAGGGGAATGGAGACAGAAGCCCACTGTCTGTTGAGCCTGAAAATAGGAGAGAAAACATTTGTGAGAATGATATACATATATATCTATCTATCTATCTATCTATAATTTGAATGTTCTGAGGGGCAGAAACAGTTTACTCACTTCTTATCAACCTCACCCCCTTAACAATGTCTTGTCATTTTCTCTCAAACTGTCTTCAGCTTGGTTTCTGGCTATGACTGATCAACATTATGAAGTTTTCAGCTAGAGCCCATCCTTTCCAAGCCTAGATACACTGTGTTATGTCTGAAGTCCTTTCTGGACTCAAAGGCTCGTGCAGACAATGTGGTGATGATCATCAAGTAATAATTTTCTGGCACGCAGTACATTACAAACACAGGATTTTGGGGGGGATGGGACAGACTCCCTAACAATCACTTAGGCATTTATTGATAGGGTTTCACTTCACCCATGTTCCCCAAATTGAGATTCAATTTGAAGAATAAACAAAGGACTGAAAAGAAATTAAAACCTTAATAGCAGTTTGCATTCTTTTGACATTTAGAAATCTATTTATAAATTTCCTGATGCACAACTAAAGGAAGTCAAATTTCAAGGTCTCAGCTAGAGATGCCACCTAATTCATATGTTCCTTGCCAAGTCCATGATCAATGTCAGAAAGAACCTATAAAGAAATTATAAGTGAGAGGGAAACTTACTATAAACTAAGACAACTACAACTCTTTAGTCCATCAAGCCAACACCAAAAAAACCAATAACTTCCATGGTGAATATAAAGAACACATGTCATGCCATATTTGCATTTTGCAGACATATTTTTGGCAGAGCTGAATTGCGTTACTGAAACCGCCACAAAGTTATACATCAGTGCTGCAATTTTATGTCTACATGCGTCTGCTAGAAATACACTTACCAGACACTTTTTAAAAACACACAGTTTAACTGTTCATCAATGCAGTTATCTAATCAGCAAATCTCAAGGCAGCAGCTCAGTGCATTTAGGCAAGATGACCTGCTGACGTTCAAACAGCAGAATGAGAAACAAAGTTGAGTTTAAGTGACTTTAATGTGGCAGGGTTGTTCTAGCTGGATGGGTTGGTCTGAGTAATTTGAAAACTGTTGATTTATTGAAATTTCCTACAGAACCATCTGTAGAGTTTACAAAGAATGGTCTGAAAATGAGAAAACAACCAGTGATTAGAGCTTCTCTGGGGTAAAACACCTCAATATCAGGAGAATGGTCAAGACTGGTTTGAGGACATAGCAAGTAACTCAAGCAACCAAAGTATGCAGAAGAACATTTCTGAATGCACAACATGTTAGAGTGGAGCTACAACAGCAGAAGGCCACACCGGGTGCCACTCCTGGCAGCTAAGAACAGTAAAACTGAGGCTACACCTCACACAGCCTCACCAGAAATGGACAATAAATGGTTTTTTGTTTTTTTTTTTAAAACCCAACAAAACCTTGCCAGGTCTGAAGAGTCTCGATTCAGATGGCAGGGTGTGGATCCATTGCATGTATGATGTAACAACATGCCGGTTGGTGTAGGGGGAATATTTCTGTGCCACACTTTGGACCCCTTGGTATCAACTGAGCATTGTTTAAATACAACAGACTACCCAAGTACTGCTCATGACCATTTTCAGCTCTTAAATACCAGTGTACCATCCCCTGATGTGTTTAACACGTCACGTCAATGTGGACCGAAATGTGAGGAATGTTTCCAGCACCTCACTGAATTTATGCCATGAACAATTAAGGTAATTAATACCTAATACCTAATAAAGTGGTCAGCAAATCAATACTTTCATGTTTGTTCTCACCATTATAAAAATTTAAATTCTTATCTAAAATGTCTGACAAACTAACCTTGGTGCAGGTCTGGAGGAGCATCTGAGTTGGGCTGAGAGGTGCAGATGTCGTTGGGAGAGGAGGAGGGTGAGGAGGAGGTGGAGGATGACGATGGCGGGGGCGTGGTGGGGGGGTCGCTCTGAGATCCACTGCTGCAGCTCTGCAGAGGCACCGGAGCCCGATGACCATCTGGAACCTCGAGCAGCTGTCGAGACAGGAAACTGCACGTTTTAGAACGTTTAATTAAACGAAAATCGGCCAACACAGAAGTTTTACTTCAGCAGAAAACTACATGTGCCACCTCTGAAACCCGCCTTTCTTTGCAAATAAAACAATGCCTAAACATCTTCACATGTCCATGTTGTGTAAACAAGCATGTGTGGGCTCTGTAGGTGATAATTACCCTCTGTAATGGATGTAGTGACTGGCTGATGAACATGCCTTCCAGCTCCTGGTTGAGGCCCTCCACGCTGCAGCGCAGGGGAGGGACCAGTGTAGACAGGGGAGCAGGGGGGATGGGAATAGGCTGAGTCTGAGCACATAAACAAGTGAACACAATTTTATTGCACTTCTCCTAAGAGCCAAACACCAGGACGTTTTTTTTTTTTTTTTTTTTTTTTTTTTTTTTTTTTAAAGAGTTCCCTTCAGCTTCTTTTATTTCCATATTTTCCAAAAACATCAGGCTAAATGTACTTTTTTTTTTTTAATTGTTACCATTAAAAATACAACAACAAAAAAGCAACAAAGAAAATGGAAACTTTCTTATTTTTTGAGAGCACACAGGCATTCAAAAAGTCATTTGCTTCAGACATCTCAAAAATCCAGCAAGCTCAATGCTGATAATCAAACTAACAAGTGTTTTCATAAACTGCATGGGGCTGTCTCATCACCACTTTGGTTTATTTGAGAAAAAAAAAAAAAAAAAAAATCACCACAGCCCAGTGGAGTGTGGGACCACACACCAGCTGTGCTGAAAAAGCAGAACCGTGCATTACAATCTGAAAAGCAGAAGCTAGCATGATGTAGTGATCTTCCTGTTTCCTCAGTGTTTTATTTCATTCACTTCCTGCAGAGACCTACATAGCTTAGTAATGCGCTCTTGTGAATGTAAATCAGTGACAGGTGTCCATATACGGTACAGAAGAAAAAACAAATACACCTAAATTTACTTCTAGAGACATCTGCACTAAAACCTCAAGTAACTCATTCAGTGTGCTTGTGTCTGCTGATGCTAAGGTACCTGAGCAGCTCCAAGGCTACGGCCCCCCTGAGGATAGCCCCGCTGACGGTCTTTGTCATGTGCCCCCGAGACTGCAGGTTTGCTGCACTGCTGCAGTTGTTGTTTTAGTTTAGTGATCTGAAACAAACACATGTTAATCAACCTCTACGTGCAAACACACAAAGGAAGTCCTTTAATCCCACATGTCGAACGCTTAGTATCAACAAACAAGGATTTTATTATGTTTTTTATGTTGGCTCAATGTTCAGTGAGATCATGAGAAGTGAGGCTTCGTTAAAAAGTATAAAAGGGGGAACGTTGCAGATGACCTCAGTCTCCTGTTGCTCAACAATGTCAATAAAAGTCAAGACTTTTTCAAGAACTTGCCCTTTTTAATTAAAAAAAAAGGGTCAAGTTTAGCAAATCCAGGCATTACAAAAGCATGTTGCGCAATCAAAAGTTGAACTGACCTCTCGCAGATGCTCAGCACTGCCCCATGATGCTGATCGCTTGTGGCTGCTGCTTCCTCGCCGGCTGTGGGATCTATCGGACCATGAGTCTGGGGTCTGCGGTGGGAAGAAAGCAGCCATGAGAACTGATGTTCTTCATATGCAATCACGTGTCTTTAATATGCATTTTATTAAGTATTTTTAGGGTTTGGTCTAAAGCTGTCATATGATCATATATGCAAAATGAAGGGAAAGCTATAGAGCCTTGTGTACAGTTTCTTTATGTACTTAAAGCAATAATGACTCAATCATTAATTACAGATTGAGGCCATTTTCAAAATTTGCATTTCTTATAATACTTCGTGGTTTCTTTGCCTTCAGTGCAAGCCAGACACAATTAGAGACCATTACATATGCCATTTGTTTCCAGATGCACGTCACAAGTGTGATAAAACATCTCATGAGAAAATATTTCACACAGTATTCACAGCACAAGATAATAAATTCCAGCAACCCAGAACTGTAAAAGCAGGCAGCGCAGACATCACACAGCTTCTGCTTCTTCAGTGGTAATTCGCTGTTATTTTTCCATCATTGCACAAATCATTAGCTGCATTTAAATGGCATAGTGCAAGAGGGCGGACCAACTACGATCTGTGATACTGTGTACTTAGCTGGATGATAAGTTGCACCTCAAGCTGCAGACCTGCTTTCATGTTTTAACTGTGTACTGACACCAGGGGGCAGTGTCAGAATTATACGGAATAACTTGTTTGGGGGGGCTACTCTTCTGGGTTCTGCTGTTACTTAGCTTAGCCCCTGCCGCGGAGTAGATTGAACTCGTAACACAGGAAGAAATGTTTTGTATTGAAGTGAAAACTGTCCACTGCAGCCACAGTTGGCTTTTTTGGTCACTGGTTAGTTGTTTTTTTTTTTTTTACTCCTTCCCATCTGATAAACTTCACCGTCTGTCCCTTTCTGTCTAAGCTCACTTCTTAGGCAATTTACAGCACCTTTCCTGACAGTCTACAGGAGATTGCTTTTTTGTAGGACTGCAAGAGCGCATCTGCATCAAGTGCATACCCATAATCCTTCTCTCTGTGTAGCAAATGACCTAAAACGCAGCAGATTCTGCTTTAAGCAGCAGCCATGGTTGCACAATGGAGGTGCGCAGCTTTGCCATCCCAAGTCCACATATGGTCTGCTGTCACCTGAAGGCACCATCAAAAACATGTGGCTAGCAACGTGGAGCTCTCTTTCATGATTTTACTTCTCACATCTCCTCAGTAGAGCCAAAGCACCACACAAGCCAACAGCAATTGCATAAATCATGCTGTAATATTTCACGTTAAACAGGTCACGTTTAACATGAAATATTACAGCAACACTTCACATATTTTAATCATTGGTTTCACACTTAGTACAGATCAACGTCTCATGCTTAAAAGGCCAACATGCAGCCACATCGCACCATCCACACCCACAGACTTGTCAAACTTGCAGACGAGCTAAAGAGCAGGAGAAACTGAAAAACAAAGACGGAGGGAGGGAGGGAGGATGTGGGCAACCAAAGTGCAGTGGCGAGTGCCTGCACGGAGCAGAGAGGATGGGTGCAGCCAAAAAGGCCTCGTCAGCTGACTTCGGGGACTGTTGTCGCGGCTGTAGTTCTCACTCTGTAATCGCTGTGCAAGCACCGGACACCCCCCTACCCCCACCCTCCCTCAACCTCAGAGCAACTTATTTCGCTGCAAAAAGTGCAAGCTAATCTTGTGATGTGACCTAACCTCTATCCCCCCCCCCCCCCAAAAAACCCAAAAACAAAACTGAGAAACATAAAAAAGAAAAAAAAAAAAGCTCTAAATTGAGGAAGCATCATTGATAGATGCCATTCCATTCATTTTTCTGACACTCATAATTCCCACACTTGAAAGCATTATTCCCTGTGGCGCTGACCTGGGTGGATTTGTCCTGGCGGGGTACACAGCTCGGGCCTTCTGGTTCTTTGGGCCAGTGTCCTTGCAGGTACGGCCCGATGATGGCGTCCAGAGACATCGTCCGCCTCATGCCTGGGCTCAGCTGGTGGGATCTGGCCTTTCTAGCTGTCAGTTTCGCAGAGATATTTTCTTATTATTTATAAAAAGCTTAAAAATAATCCACACTAATCGGTTTTTCCTCAGGAAACTTGCAGCATTGTAGTGGCAGACACTTATTTTAAACGCATTGCATCATTTTCACCTTCACATCAGAAAGCCACACATGTAATGCTACTTTTCACACACACTGGCCTTTAAATCTATTTTAAAGGTTTTAACGTACTGACAGTAAGCATCAAGAGACTTCATGTCACAGCCATCTACACATGATACAAAAAAGACAGTAGGGTCTCTTAAAAATGGACAAAAATGCTCTTTAAGACACTAAAAATACTTAAATAGTTTTATATTTGGGGCTACCAATATCTGGATATTACCCTATAAACACCAAATAGTCAGTTTGATTGACAAGAAGAAATTATAAAATATATTTTATCATTTTTTAAATTTCGAAAATATAACTACAGATTTTGAATACTTTAATATAGAAGTAGCAAAGTTTCCCTTAAAAAACACACACACACACACACACACACACACACACACACACACACACACACACACACACACTATAAAAACATATTTTATAGCTCGTGTTACTAATTAAGACAGTTTATATTATGCTTGGATCCGGCTACCAACTTGCCCTCTTTTACTGAGAATTTGCTATCACAAGTTTGAACATCTTATCTAAAGTCTGCAAATGTCCTACTGGGCAACTAGCAGATAAAGCTGCTCTGCAACTGCGCAGGACTGCAGAAACTCGCACCCAGCTTTCTACACCTATCGTGACACTACGTGAGGTCTTAAACTTGAAAGGATAAGGTGGAAAAAGGTGTTGAGCTCATACCTGGCTTCCCATCTATCCTGTTGGGTCTCGGTTTGCTGGCCAGCTGATATGGGACAGTTGCCTTCAGCGGCTGTGGACCCAAAGCAGCACCCCTCGTGTGTCCAGCTCCACTTCGACCGGACATCTTTACAGTGTCAAATCTGGGTCCACTTAACTCTAAATGACTGTTATTAGCTGTGGCTGTCCTGCCTGGTAGAGATGTGGGGGCGCTCTGGTGATGGTGGTGGCTGGCTAAAGTTAACCAGCAGCGGCTCTTTCTCCTCTGGTGCTGGTGATGACTACTCGAAGAAAAACCGTTAGAAAACTCAAGGCGAGTCATTCAGAGGCCATGTCCGAGCACATACCACTATAACTCGACCAGTAAAACGTCAATACGAGCTTGTGTTCTCGTCTTCGCCGCTGAGCATACTTTTTTTGGTCTCCTTGCTGCTGGCTGTGTGGCGAGTTAGCAGCCTAGCAAGCAAAGTTTCTTTGTGAGGATGTTGAGATATTTCACCCCGTTGTCGAAGGAGGAAGCAGCTCCAGTTTCAAAAAGTCACTTTTACGTCAACTCCCACGGCTTCCGAGCAAACTTTAAAGTGTGTTTCATTACAACTTGTCGGGCTGGAGCGTGTTTGTTTTCTCTCTCCTTTTTAAAGGTGGCCGTGAAGGATGCGAGGCTGAGCACAGCTCCCTAGCCCTCTGCGTTCTTGTTTCAACGCAAACTCCAAACAGTTCCAGCACCACGCTGGTGTGGATTTAATTACGTGTGTGGGCGGACCCTGCTCCCAGATCTCACTTTTTGATTGGTCGGGAAGCCTCAGCTTTCAATTCTATTTGTCAGTGCGCCATCAATCCCTCATATTTAGGCCCATAAAGTTTGGTGTCCCCGCCCCCAAATTCATATCTGAGGTTAGCTTATTTTTTAATGTTAAATTCGTGTTTTAAAAACAAATTTAAACCTTTTTAAAGGAGAAAACCGACTATTGTAGCTATACCTTGACACATGAATCAGCATATTTTAAAGCTGCTGCAGTAGTTTACATGTATTAAAGGGCCATGCTAGTGGCTTTTCTGGCCTAGCAAGTAAACATTACTTGTGTAGAAAGATCTACAGAGCACTCTCTTAATTAAGAGCAACATTCGTTTGTTATTACACCTGCTGTTGTAAAAATAAGGCCATTGATTCAAATGGCATAAAAGCTGAAAAGAAAATGCGTTGAAGTACTTAGAGTCATTGCAGCACTACTATATCTACAGCTCCCAAAAAATAAAAGTAGCTCATTAATGAAAGAAAATAATTGGCTCCAAGTGAAGTAGAAGTATAAAATAACACAAAATGGAAATAATAATGTAAAGTACGCCTATGGGAGGGCCACTGAAATGTACATAGTTGCTTCTCACTCCTCCAAATTATGTAAATTTTATTGTAGTTTTCATTATACCGTGAATAATGTCACTGCAGAGGAGCTCCACCTTCAGATGCAAAGAGAAATCAAGCGCAAACATGTAGTCATTTACACTGTAAATATAAAAAAGTAATATATATTAAAACTACTAAAGACAAAGCTGTAAGTGCTATTGGGTGGTAAGCACTGAGACAGTCAGTGGCTGATTAGTTTGGGTACAGGAACGACTGTTGCAGACTTCACACAGGTTGGGATGAGCGCTTGTGATGGCTGATCTGCACATGCTTGTTTGCACCTTCCCAGGAATCCAGTCAGGATCAGAGGCCTTCCTTGTGTTCACTGACCTGTGCCCCAGCCTCACTTGATGTTGCTGTAAGGTGACTGCCTGGGCTCTGGAGTCTGGGGAGACTGAGAGGCTGACACTGAGTGCTGTGTGAGTCCTCAAAGCCCCTGTAGCAAGTGGATGAGGTGATCTTCCACCTTCCTCTTTTATCCCGCTCTCCAGCTCAGCTCTAGCAGGATTGTACAGAGCTCTGCAACCTGATCTAACAGTCAGAGCCGCGGTCTCTGAAGACAGTCCTGAGCTTCCCTGTCATCCAGGTTTTCTGGCAGCGGTATTATTAGCACAGTACTTGATACAGAACCGACTCCGTGTGTTCAGCTGATGTTCAAATATGTCCCAAACAGTGTGTTCAAAACAGTCCAGTAGCCTATTTATGAGAGGGCTTTCTGAAGTCAGGCTTGATAGTCTTCAATAGTCTTCAGTTGTGGCTTTGTTTTTGCTTTTTGTTTTTTTTTTTTTTTTTTTTTTGGGGGGGGGGGGGGGGGGGGGTTGTCTCCTGAGAGGGGTGCAAGCAGGAGTGAAGAAAGACGTGGTCTGACTGGTCTTACTGGGGGAGGGGTATGGCTTTATATGAATGCTTGATATTTGAATTACACACTTAGTTCCTCCTACGCTGGGCGGCGCATCGGGCAGCTAGTGATATTTGAATAAACATGATCAAATGTATTTTCTGCCCTAATCAGGCAGTACACATGTAAATGAATCCAAGAAGTACTGAGCTGAGGGTTGTCTGATGCCATCAGGGTGAAGCTGCAGTCTGTTTCGCAGGAATTCCTGCTAAACCCTGGGATCAGGTGGAATGCAGACAGCAGCGACAATCACCACCGTTCGCTCTACTGGAAGAAAAAATGGCCAGTATTTAGCTGAGAGAAACTGTAGGGCCTGTCTAAGATCATGCTGTTATTTGATCGGTCATTATGCACATACATTAGAGTCATTGTTTCTGTTCCCTGAAGCTCTGATTTTCATGTTATTTTGACATATTTGTGTTCTCCTCCACTGGTTTGCTTCATTGCAGTACAACAATAAAATAATATTGCTGTAACATCCTTGATTTCCTTAATTTATCATATGTAAAAATCATAAACCTCATGCGAATTTGCTAGTTTCTTTCTTACAGCAGCACTTCTCTGGGGTCTACGCTGCATTAGCCTTTACCAATAATGTTATTTGACCAAAAAAGCAAGACTTGGCTAATTAAAGAAAACTTTCAAGAGATTGTTTTTAAATACACACAATGTAAAAAAAAAGAAATGCACCAACACCAATGGATGAATAAACGTAGGAGAAATATAAACAAATTCCAACAGTGTGACATGGTTCGCAGAGCTCTCTCTGGTATAAAGTCCATGTTATCTGCACTAAATGAGCTAGAACATGCAAACTCCCCCCGGAGCGGTCATCTAAATATTTCATCATCAACTTCATACATTTGTTTATTTGTAGACTAATTTCCCCTTCATGCAATCCTGAGGCCCAGCTGGGTGTGTGTGCACCATCTGGGTGGACTGTGAAGTGGTTATGGGTGGTGTGGGTGCGTATGTGTGTGCGTATATGAGACAGTGTGCATTGTGGAAGATAAATATCCTGACTGTGTAAAAAGGGAGTGCCGATGGTGGGACAGAAGAAGAGGACTGAGATAACAAAATGCCACTTTTAGAAGCCAGAGCAGTGTAAGACTCACCATCCGGCGCCCTCTGCAAAAGCTAACTGTCCTGAAACATGCGTGTCTTACACGGGACCCTGTCCCCGTGCTTAGATAACACATTTGCTTGCCGGGACACCAGAATGGGACTAAGAGGGCTTTATCACAGAAAGATGAAGCGTTAAACCATGTGTTTACAGCATGCTCATCTGTCTAGTATAAATTCCAGCAATTAATGTCACTCTCACAAAACCACCAAAGACAAAGACAAATAACTAAACACAGCGTAGCACCACCCCACAGGCATCCATTCATTTACAGCCTGGGAGTTAATTGGACAGTATGTCAACCTGGAATGCGTCTTCCACGTAATGCTTTTCCAACATTTACCAAAGGACTTCCAGCTCCTGTTTGCTCAGCTCTGTGTATTTGTCTGTGTTAATGAATAAATGAGCCTAACCTTTGACCTCATGTGAGCTATCTCAAACTAATTTAAAGAGAGGCGATGTCATGCTTCACAAAGTCAGGTCTCAAGGGGAAGACATGAGAACAAAGCGTGACCCAGGCCAAAGGGGGACAAGGGTGATGACAGGGAGGCTTCTTGGACCTTTAGTAAAATAATCAGCTGTGATATCAGCTTATGTGGAGGGAGTGTGAAAATGAAAGTACACCAATTTTTCCAATTTTAAATCAAAACAAGCCCAGATCATCACCCCTCCGCCACTGTGTTTAACAGTTGACATAAGGTGTTTGTACTGATATGCTGTGTTTGGTTTTCACTAAACGTGCCAGTGTGCATTATGGTCAAACATCTCCACTTTGGTCTCATCTGTTAAAAGGAAATTGTTCTAGAAGACTTGTGGTTTGTTCAACTCTGCAAACCAGGAAAAAATGACTATTCTCTGTCCTTTATAGAAAAAAGAAGCTTTCTCCCGGAAATCCTTCCAAAAAAGCCATATTTGTTCAATCTTTTTCTAATTTAACTGTAAAGAACTTTAACATTTATCATGCAAACTGAGGACAGTAGAGTGTATGTAGCTCTGTGGTTTTTTCCAGTTTCTCTGACCAAGAGGTGATTTTGTCGGCACGTCCACAGCCTGAATGCTCATGACCAGCAAACTGCAGTAGAGGTGCTCACACTGCTGATGAGTTAGTGAAGTGCAATTAATTAGCAGCCACCTACCCTCTTAATTCCTGTGGAAAGCAGGTAACTCATGAGGGTGTATTCAGTTTTTCACATTGATTTTGCATTTCAGTTGTTTACCTGTGTGTGACAGCTGGTATTGAAGGAAAACAGAGGAGGTGCCTTAATTAGAAGTTTTGTGCATATATTCAAGCAACTACAGGGGGTTACAGATGTGTTTTGTGAGTCGGGATCAGGTGTGCAGGTGGAGGAACACTAACCTGTGCACCTTTGGAAGTGAAGGTGCCAAGGGCGTAGATTGATTTACCAGAGCAGCAGTGATCCACTAGCTGTTCCAGGCATGGGGTATTGTTTTGATTTGTTGGGTTTTTTTTGAGTGGTCCATCCTGGCAAGTGAGCCTGTATGGACAATGGTTGCTTCCTTTGGGATGGACCGGGCATTTTTTTTTTTTGTACTTTTTGTCTTTTTTGTTTGTCTGTCCATTTCTTGAATATATGCTTGCTTCCTTGTTACAAATCCTATTGATTTTATTCAGCCTGGTCTCTGTTTTTCATGGGCTACAGTAAAACTAATTAGGTGTGGAACTCATTAATGGTGTCTGATCACTTAGTGTGCTTTTGATTGGTTGCAGTGAAATGGTCATTGGTCTGTTGTTGAGATTGGGGAGCGACTGACTGTGAAAAAAAGATTTGTTTTCCTTAATTTTCATTGAAAAAAGTTTTTTGTTATTGCTAGTAACCTGCTGTGGGTTTAACATGAGGTTGTATATACCCAATTTTAAGACCTGCTAAGGACCAGATTCTTTTTTATGATATGTACGTTCTTTTTCCCCATTTGTGTCTGAGTATTAAAACAACCCATTATGCCAAAATCAACATGTCACTGGATAGGTGTAGTCTAAGTGCAGTCAGATCATGGACAATATGTGCAGGAAAGTCTAGGTAACACGATATCATGATGTCCAAATTTTATCAGAGATCAGATTTGTCAACCTTATGGTGCTACAAAATATTTGGGAGAACTCAGAAGCTAAAAGAACAATTCATGCAAAAGTACTTAGTAATTATATAAATCAGGGGATAATGTACAACAGTGTGGTAGATAATCCCAGCACCTTGATTAATGTCTGTACAAAATGCTATGATAGTCCATCTAATAGATTATAGATTCTTCACTCGCCATTTAAAACTCTGACCTGCTGGTGGCGCAACAGAAAGCATCCCTGAGGATTAGCTGTAGTGCTTAGAGGAACTATTCTCATAGGATAGGAACTGAGCGATTTCAGCCTGGATCGAAGCGGTAGATATGCTGATGGTATATCCATTAAATACATAAGCACATTTAATGTTTCAAAAAAAGGCAGTTTTATTGCAGTTTTAAACGTTTCCCAACTCTCAAAAACGCCGCATTAAAAAGCAATTTACACATGTGTGACTGACACAGGTGAGTATGTCGTGGACGTAACTGTAACAGAAAAGGAAAGCTCACAGAAAGAAAAAAAAATGGCATACGCATGTTGCACATTCACTATTTCTCTCCTGCTCAAACTATTCTATCAAGCTAGGTTTGTAGAAAAAGACAAGGACAACACTCATTCTGCATAGTCACAATAAACTCTGCGTTTGTATGCAACAGATTTCTGTTTTTTTTAAATGTTCACACTGTGGCATCTCCACAATCCTCTGTAGCCTGTGTGTCTAACCTAGCGTATGATTGAATAAGGTCTAAACTGTCATTGATTTTAATATCATAAAGTAGCTTCTGTTATTTATTTTTTTAAATAATCTTCATCATAAACCATCTGACTCGCCACATTAAAAGCTTCTGTTCTAAAATCTTTTCATGCTCCTGTAACAGTATATAATAGGGCTGTTTCTCCATAAGGATATAGCAGCTCACCCATCTTGTGAGTGTTATTCAACAGGCAGAGTAAGATAGGCTGACAGATCGATAAGACACAGACAAAAGGACAGCGACACACAGAACGACCCTACAGCGAGCTTCGATGAAGGTGACCGGTTCAGATGGGTGACTGTAAGTGAAGGAGGGTCAGACTTAAACCAGCTGCTTTACAGTGCAGGAGGCTTAATGATGTCACGACAATGAAAGGCAATGACGCTGTAGGAGGCCATGAGGCAGTGCGGCAGCTTGCTCCTGTATCTTGGCTGCACAGGCCCAGAGAGCGTGCAGGCTGCTCTTCCACAACAGGTGTAAGCTGAGAGAGTGCTGGGTTTTAAAAGTAAAGGGACTCAAGTCTGTCAAGCATCTGTCCGCCCACCGAGAACAGTCGTTTTATTTTCACGCCGGAGCGTCTTAATGTTTCTTGGCAGTGTTTCTTTGGTGCCCCCTAGCTGGGAGAGAGGGCAGGACTGTTCTCTGTGCTGATGTTGACCAGGCACTCGCTGGACTTCAGGCTAGTCAGAGATTTGCAGCTTGGGAAGGACGCCAAGGACCCACACAGGCCCATCATGGAGGGGGTGTAGTCCTTTTCTGGGAGGGTGGGACAAACATATAACGGGAGGGTCAGTTTAACTGTACACACATGTTTCATCGCTTGTGTGTCTGAGTTGTCACCTGTGCACCAGGCCCTCCCATTCTGTTTCCCATGAGTCCTCTGAGAGTCAGAATCCAGGCTGACCTCCACTGACAGCAGCTCTGTGCTTGGAAAACTCCTCCTGAAAGAGAAAACAAGGCAAATATTTATATATGGCTCAAACCAGGTTCAAATTTTGAATTAAAAAATTAAAATGTTTTCTATACAGGTTTACATGGACATAACTACGCCATTTGATTTTTGCTTGTGATTTACACAAACTGCTAAGTGCTGTCTGATCTTTGATTGAACAATATTATACACCCACCAGCCACTTCATTAGGTGCACTGCTAATCAACACAATTATTTTATAAACCAGTCAAATGGCAGCAAGTGAGTGCAATTAAGCATGTACACATGATGAAAACAATGTGCTGAAGTTCAAACTGAGAATAAGAATGAGAAAGAAAGGTGATTTAAATTACTTTGAACGTCTCCAAAGGTTGATTCTGTTCATCTGGACGTAGCGTTTTCAGTGGGAGAAACGTTTCGTCACTCATAAAGTGACTTCTTCAGTCTCAGCTGACTGCAGGTTTCCCCAATCTTATAAAGAGTACATTTTCATAATGACTGAAACCAGCCCACTAAGGGAACAATGGGCTGGGAGGTCAAACTTTGAACGTGGCACACCTGATGCCAGAGTATTTCATAAACTGCTGATCTGCTGGGATTTTCCCACACAACTGTAAATTTAGTGAATAGTTTATATAATCTGTCCACCAAGAGTACTATTTATTTTTCACATTTAAATCAAATAATTAAAAATGAAATAAATATGGGCTGTACGCAGTATTATCCAATAGCGATACTAACTAGATGACCTCAGAGTCACGCAAGAGCTTCCCTGAGGCCACCGGGTATCACTGCTGTTCCTGTATGGAAACCAGCATGTCTGCAAACATCTACTGCAGAGTGTCCAGTCTCGGAGGAAGCGCACCATTAAGCGCATACAGGAATGTTGTTCGGCTCGTCCACGTATCTGTTGTTGCAGCTACAGAAGTAGCTGCCTGTTTAGGAATGAGCTCCTCGATTTGTTTTGGTTAGTCCTTCTGTGTTGCCATGGTGACTATTGCAAACCGTCAATTAAAACAAATAAACGATAGCCTATAACATGGAACGATAGACGTTTGAATATCGTCCTCTGATGTATTTCCTCATCTGTAGAGTTTAGGAGAATGGTCTGAAAAAGTGAACAACGTGTCTAACCTTGAAGCAGATGGACTTTTTGATTCCATGCTGTGAAGAACTGAAGCAGTTCTGAAGACAAAAGGGAGTCCCAGCCAGTATTAGCAAGGTGTAACTTAAAAATGCGACTGGCTGGTGTATATTATTGTTATTACAGAGTTTGTGCATATTGTCAAATTGCAACAACGAGACAAAGTAACCATGCTGCCTGTAGCAAACCTGCGAAACAGCTTCAAGTCCTCTTGGCTGTCGAACGGCTCGAGCGTTGGCCACTGGTTGACGAGTGGGATTGAGAGGTTTTTCGCCAAGTGGTTGGAGTCACACGGAATCAAGCTTGTCCTGAGACATGTGAGGGTAAAACATAAGTCCCAACAATAGAACCACTGAAAAGCAAACACAGTCCACGGTACTCTGCAGTGAAGAGTGTTCATCAGTTAAGCTGGCATTGTGTTAAAGCTATTTGCTTAAACATGCTAGCCATCTGTGTGTTTCACTCACAGTTGCTCCTGAAGCTCCAAGACAATGGCCTCTAGTTCCCTTTTCTCCTGTTGGCTCTGGGTCTGCAGCTCCTCCAGCCGGGCCTTTAGCCTCTTGTTCTCCATCTCTGTGTTCTTCAGCTGTGACTCACGCAGACGCACAAGCTCCTCCAGGTAACCCTGACAACACACATTCAGACTGAGCCAAAATTTAAAAAACACATTCACCCTCGGATACTCATATTAGACATCAACCATCTGTGAACGGTCATAGTAATGTAGAAACGATTCCGCAGTATAATCTTTGTTATTAACTGACAGATTAATAGAGTCATGAAACGATGAACGTATTTATCTGCATTTATTAACCTTAGATTTAGATCAAGCAACAGCGACAGAAACACATCATGTTTGTCCGCCCACCTTTTGTGCATTGACAATCTTGAACCTCTGCTCCATCTTGCGACACTTTGTGCTCCAGCTCTCCTCGTCTGTGACCAGGGGGATGTAAGGATGTTCAGGGACGCTGTCGTCACTCGCGCTGCTGTCAACACTCTGCCGATCATCGTCATCGCTCAGGTAATCATAGCTGTGACACGAGCAGCCAGTATCAGTATCTTATTGACTTTGAATGGGCTGTGCAATGGTGTTTCTGTAACTTTCAAAGTGTTTCTGAAATACATGAAGGTTGGTGTACCTTTGTGTAAATTTCAAGTATGGAGTATAGTCAATCACTGCAGGAGATTTCCCATCCAGGGCCTCCCCTTTTAAACAGAAGCTGAGGGAGACAAACCAATCAGAAATTAGAAACTTTATACATGCATAAGGATTTTAAAAGTATCAGTCTGATATCTAAAAGTCAGGACGCCCCACCTAAAGTCTATAGCTCCAAGACCTATTAGCATCCCTGTTAGCACTGTAGCTTCTTCTCTTAACATGATGGCTCCCTCTGCATAGAACCTCCTAAAGCACAAAGACAAGTGCAGTTAGGTGGGAACATGTTTGTACGAGGATCAAGTGATTTTTATTATATAGAGAGGTGCTAACTTGGTTGTCCTGCTGTCCCTCAGAGCAGTGGCGATGTATTCAGATAGCCTCTTCTCCATCAGAGCTACTCTCATCCAGGCTCGGACCTGAAAGGAACACCAAAGCTAAAGAAATTAGTCTGGAGAGTCACAAAAATGACTTCTAAATTAGTCCCAATAAATCTACATATTCTTTTATTTGTAATTTTTTTGTCATCGTATGATGGTCTTGCCTTGGCTCGTGAGGTGCTGATGTTTTCCATGCTCTCAATGCTGCTAATGCAGCTGTTGGGGACTTTAGCACAAGCCAGGCGGATGTAGTCCCAGTAACTCCTCTGACCATCGAACCAGCTACTAGAGCCTGACACAACAAGCATGTGAAGTGCGTTAGTTTTAGTAAGCACTGAAAAACACGTTGTTACACTACACATATATTACTGCGAATAATAAAACAACATGGTTCTGCTTGCCGAAGCTGCTAAACAGGACAGAAAAGTTTCAGTAAACACTGTAAGAGCCTTGATTCAACAGGACGTTAAGTCCCAGTATGTTATCTCCTCAGTTTAGTACCTTTGAAACGGTGGCTGAGGATGTGTTCAAGGATGGCGGCGAAATTGACAAACTCTTCTGATGAATCATCGATGGGCTCGGCCGTGTATTTCTCCAGCAGGGTCTTAACTGAAAACCTGTGTGTGGTGGAGAGGAGCGAGGAGAGCACTTATTCGAGCACTTATTCAAGCATAGAGGGAAAAGATTAGTCAGGAAAAACGCTGATGGGTTACCGCTGTCTTCGTTTCAGTTTACAGTAGGCAGAACATGTCGTACATCAAACTATTGCTAAACATTTGTGAATCACACTTGATAAACCACACAAGTCTGTTTAAGGATGCACTCGCGAAAGAACACAGTGTTCTGCCACTGTGATACATTTAGTTAGCTCTTAGGTTTAACCCTAAAAAACAGACTGAACATTTTTAATGAGTACAATTAGAATGACTATTCATTTTCTTACATGATTTCTAATATCATAAAAACACAAATTACAGGAATATGCACAGATTTAAAGAATGTACATGAGCAGATTATGTACAGTATTGCGCTCTACGTTTATTTTTCTGTGTTCAAAAATTTGTGATGGCTGTTCCAGATGACACGGGATGGATCCTTGGATCAGTGTAGAGAAAACAGGAGATGATAAGACTGTGGAATCGCTCTATCTTCTGCCAAATTGCTTGCTTAATTTGGCAGAATATAGAGTAAATAGTAAGCACTGAAAAATCACACAATTCTCCCCAGACTACAGAGCTCTGTGCTGTTTTTATAGGAAGCTGAACTCTTGTCTCTGTATGATAACAATTTAATGTGTAAGAAAGTTACTTTCTATATTTGAAGAAAAACAGTTAAATATATATGTTGTTATGTGAATTTTTGGATCCGGTGTCATAAATGTGATGTACTTGTGTGATCAGTGAATGGTAAAATGGCAACAATGGGAACATTTTAAGACTCTGATCTCGGTGTCAGACTGACCTTACTGAACAAAATACTCCACGTTGTCCTATTCTGTCAACACGTAATCTTTCAGATATACCACAAGCTAATGTACAAGTTAGGTTTTGTACACAAGGGTCTAAATGTATTCTGTGACCATGGCAGATAAGAGAGATAACTTGTCTCCATAAATATCCTAGGTTTCCTTGTTCAAAACTCATGCTGTAATCTGTACTGTACAATTAACAAAGGTCAATGAAACTCATAAAAGCAAAATATCTGGGTGGTGTTAGCTTGTTAGGGCAGGGCATAAAGTAATTATGTATGATACAGCTAAATAATAGTTTATTTTTACAGCACTTATCAAAACTAGAGTTACAGAGTACTTCCCAGAAACACAGAATAACAGAACAAACAAGGAGGAGATTATACAAAACAATGAACATATCAGCGGACACTGTACTGGTCCGTAGTGGTGAAAAGAGAGCTGAGCGTAAAAAAGCAGCTCTCAATTTACTGGTCGACCTATGTCCCCACCCTCACCTGGTCATGACCTCTGGGTAGTGACCGAAAGAATGAGATCACAGATAAAAGTTGTGGAAATGAGCTTTCACTGAAGGGTGGTTGCCCTCTTCCTTAGAGATAGGGTGAGAAGTTTAGCCATCTGGGACGGGTAAAGCTGCTACTCCTCCACATCAAAAGGAGCCAGTGTAGGTGTAGGCATCTGACAAGGATGCTTCCTGGGTGCCTCCAAGGTGAGGTGTTCTGGGCATGTCCCACCAGGAGGAGACCCTGGGGTAGATATGCTAGAGAGATTACATCTCTTGGCTGGCCTGGGAACGCCTTGGTGTTCTACTAGACAAGCTAGAGGAGGTGGCCGGGAAGAGGGAGGTCCAGGCTTCTCTGCTTAGTTTGCTGGCCCTGCAACCCGGCCCCGGATAAGTGGAAGAAAATGGATAGATCGATGGATGGAATTTACATATCAATTAAAACACAAGACTTAACATCAAAATAAAATAAGGTGAATCTTAAAAGAAGACACTAATGAGGTGAGCTGAATTTTCTCAGGCAGGTCATTCCACAATCGAGGAGCCCCAACAGCAAACATTCAAACGCTCAATCGACTTGTGTCTTTACATGTGAGGTGGGAACTGTTAATGGGTTTCAGACCAAGGATCTCAGCTGAGCACTGGTTGGTAGAAGAACTGCAGTTTGACTGTATATTTTGATGCTGGGCAATGAAGGACTTTAAATGTAATAAGTAAAATCTTAAAATCAATTCCTAGAGAAATGCACAGCCAGTGTAGAGTCATCAACACTGGGGTAAGATGTGTTCAGTTTTCAAGGTTCTGGTAACAATCTGGCAGCTGATTTTGCATAGTCTGAAGTCTATTTCATGCTTTCTGATTGATATCTGTTAAAAGACCAGTACAGTAGTCTAACAAAGAGGAAATAAAAGCATAAAAAGCAAAATAGTCAGAGTGTCACTAAAACTCAATATTGATCGAATTCCCGCAATATTCCTTAGGTTATAGTATCAGGACTGCGTCATCAATCAATCAACCATTACTAATCTGATTTCCCATAATTATAATCAGGGTTAGAGCACAGAGTTCAACTATTTGAAATTGTACAAGCGTATCTCCATCCCATTTGAGTGTGGATGTAATTATGTGATCTCTGACAATGTACCTTCCATTTCCTGCAGAGTCTCATTTCTACACTTCAGTCTGATGTCATCCTTTTACTGTGAGGAATATGTTCATCGAGCACTTTCAGGAAACTCCAACAACTTCCTTTGTACTAGATAATTTCAGCTGATGACATAAGTCTCCCGTAATACATTCCTGACTTCCAGGATCTTCCTGTGAAAACCCTTTAACTTTTGTATGTGTTGAAGATTTGAACAAATAAAATTAGTTCAGAGAGACATAACTCAATAATGATAATAATCATAAATCATTTGGCAAGATTTTATCCATAATTTCATAAATATCCTACTTTTAAATTTTGGCTGTAAATATTGATAACTGTGGTGATGTATGGGGAAAACTTTTAGCTGAGTCACTGGTCACTTATGCGCGTCATCTAGTCTCCATGGCATGCAACTACTTTAATCCACTTTACCCTATTATCCTGTTTTAATTTTGATTCTTGTACATTGAGCTTGTTTCTTATTTCATTACACTGTAAAAACAAAGACTTTGGAGAAAATAGAGGGTTATTAAAACTCAAGGGAACAAGATATTACAGATATTAGCAAGCTGCTTTTTGTTGCTAATGCTAATTAGCATTAACAATATTAATAACATCAACTAGCATTAGCATAACAGTAGCTGTGTCCCAACTCCTAGGCCACAGCCTTCGAAGAACCCGGCCATCATGGTCTACGTGGGCCGGGTCCTTCGAAGTCTGGAAGTGCGAGGCTGTGAAATGGGACGGTCTAGCCTTCAGATTTGCGTCACCAGCTGTCTCGGTGGAGTTGAATAAACTCAGCTGTCTGCTCCTTGCTCCCTCAAATATAACAGAACATTGGAGTAAATTCTCAACCATCTCACGTTTCTGTTTAATCAGTTTTCTGTTTGACGTTTATTTAGCTGCATGAAAAGTATAACTTTAATCTCAGCCAAAACGATTTACTAAGGAACAAATAAAACACTGAAAAAAGCCAAACAATAGTATTTTTACATTATCTAAGTGACTTATATGTTTAACCTGAGTAGCGAAAGACCACGCAGGGTCTGAAAATGTGGCGGGAGTTCGGTGTTCTCGACGGCTCTAGTGGGTAACAGACATCTGTGAAAACGTCAGAGCCCTTTTGCAAATATGTGATGTCTTGATAAACCGAGCAGATATTTGAAGTTTACACAGCTACATTCTTGCCTGAAAATATCTTAAAAGTTTATTTTGTGACCCAGAAAGAGTAATATTAAAACTAAGCCGCCATTGTTGGAAACTGGAATTGGCTGGGCTGCGCTATGAATTCTGGGATAGGTTGGGCCACGAAGGATACACCTGACCCATCCTTCATATCCAGGAAAATGAAGGACGGATTTCGGGGCCTCATTTGGAGCGGCCCTTGAATTGGGACAGCCCTCATCGCCTGGCTGTGACGTAATCGGCCTTCAATACACAGACGATCCAGCAACGCACACGAGAAAACACAGGGCTTAAATACACACAGGGCAATCAGGGAATGGGAGACAGGAGGGAGACACGGCTGGGATTAATTAGACATAACAAGACAAGGGGAAGCAAAACTAGAAACACTGACAAGAGACATGGACCTTCACAATAAAACAGGAAAGACACCGATAAATCTCTAAACAGGCAAACCTAACAGACTAGGAGACAGAACATAGGAACTTGAAACATGGAACAGGAGAGCACAGAAGACACACAACACTAGGGATAATCACAAACAACCCAAAATAAACAAAACCACAGAAGATTAATAAACTTAAACATAAACACTGAGTCCACAGACTCCGGACCATGACACAAACAGCATAAGTTTGTGATATCAGGAAATGAGTATTTCACATCGCTGTGGACGTATTTCCAGCATCAAAGGTCTGTTTAAGGTCATGCCAAAGCATCTGAAATTTAAGTCTGGATTATTTTAGACCACTCCAAAAACCTCCTTTTTTTCTTCTTGTTTTGTTTTGTTTTTGAGTCATTCAGACATTCTCTTTCAGGATTTTCTGGTAGAGAGCAGAATTCATGGTTCCATCAATTACAGCAAGCCTGAAGCAGCAAAGCAGCCCCAGACCATCACGCTACCACCACCATGCTTGGCTCTTGTTACGATGTACTCTTTTCATGAAAGGCTATGTTAGTTTCACAGCAGATGTAACAGGACCCAAACCTTCCAAAAAGTTACACTTTTATCTCACAGATAGGGCTGCCACAAACGATTATTTTGATAGTCGACTAGTCACCGATTATTTATGCGATTAGTCGACTAATCAGATCATCATCCACTGGACGTAAAACTACAGCTTATTGCACCAGCAGCATCTGCTCTTATATAACTATCATTAGCTTACAGCTTTAAGTGTTTAAGGTGCTAACTAAAAATAAAGACAAGATGATAGTTTATTCAATTTTAATGAAATTTGCAGATTGTTTCGGTGAAGTTTAATGAACTCCTTGCTATCTAAAATATAACAGGACACTGGAGTATATTCTCCAGCATCTCACACTTTTGACAATCAGCTGTCTGCTTGACGTTTATTCAGCTGTGTAAAAACTATAACTTTAATCTCAGACAAACCGATTTACTCAGGAACAAATAAAATACAAAAAAAAAAAAAAGCCAAACAACAACATTTTTAATTTATCTAAGTGACTCATATATATTTAACCTGAGTAGCGAAAGACGGCGGTGGGTTAGAAAACAATTTGCCGGGAGTCCGGTGTTCTCACCGCGCTAGTGACCTAGCCCCCGGCTAGCTATCGAGCTGGTGGGTAACAGACGTCTCCGAAAACGTCGGAGCGCTTTTGAAAATATGTGGTGTCCTGATAAACTGAGCCGATATTTGAGGTTTACACAGCTACATTCTCGGCTGAAAATACGTTAAACGTTTATTTTCTGACCCAGAAAGAATAATAAGAGTAATATTAAAACTAACTAGTTGCCGCCATTGTTGGAAACTAAGCTGGGCCGCGTTATGATTTCTGGGACACAGCTGCTTCTTCTTCTTCTTCTTCGGGGTTTAACGGCAGCTGGCATCCTTGTACATGCAGTGCTGCCATCTTCTGTTTCAGTCCGTTATTACACTCTTAAATCCTGCTACTTATTCCTGCGTCTTTTGGGATCTTACAAAGCTTCAAACGACGCGTCGACTATTAAATCAGTCGTCGACGATTTTGATAGTCGACGTAATCGTGACTAGTCGACAAATCGTGGCAGCCCTACTCACAGAATGTTTCCACAAAAGTCTTGGGGATCATCAAGATGTTTTGTGAGACGAGCCTTAGTTTTGGTTTCTCCTTGAACTCTCCCATGGATGCCATGTTTGCCCTGTCGCTCTTTTATTGTTGAATCATAAACTCTGACCTAAACTGGAGCAAGTGAGACCTGAAGTTCTTTAGCTGTTGTTCTGGGTTCTTTTGTGACCTGACATCGACTTTGTTTCTGATCTGTTCATGAGTTTCTTTAGATTGTGGCAAGATTGCTTGTGGAGGTCTTTTGGCCTGCTTCCATTTGTCAGACTGGTTTATGTTTATATTTAGGTTATTTCTTGATTCACCATGTCATGCAGTAATCAGACCTTGCAATGGTGAGCGAAACTGAACTCAGCTTTCCAAAAAATGTGGATAATCACAGTAAATGCATGATTTAACCAGGTTCACAATTACACTTTCACATAGGGCTAAGCTATGTCCTGAAAATTGACAGCATTTTTTTACCTTAATAAAAGGAAATCATCATTCAGAATTTCACTTTGTATTTTTTAAGTTATCTTTGTCTAATATTAAAAAAAAAGAAAAGAAATCAGGAAGTAGTGAAATATTTTTCCCAGCACTGTGCATTTGTGGGTGTATATTTTCAGCAATATACACCCACAAATGATATAAAAGCTCACAGGCAAAGAATTTTCAGTTTATTTTAAGCACCATTATTTCTTCAGCAGTGACCACTAAATGTTTTCCTGGACACTAAATAATTCAGCAGGACTATTTTCTACAAGAACACCTGTCAAATACTATTTGTCCAGTGACGGTAAGATATGCAGTGAGCCGTGAGAAGGAAATTAACCATCTCCTGCAAACAGAGAGAAAATATTATGGCTAAATACTGGTCATGTTTTGCAGAGTCACCATCTTTATGTTTTACTGGCCACGTTCACATCTATAAACAATGCTTATCTTATCACAAGCCACTGAGGCAAGTGATTTCACTCCCCATTGTTCCAAAGGCAACAATGCCTCATTCAGCTGCATCAACTGGATAATAAATGGCTGACTATCCTCAAAACGAGCACAATCCCTGCATTTCCTGTGTATTACAAACAGCAGGGCGGGGACCTGACCTAGATTCACCTGTCATTGGCTCACAGAGGTCCTGCTTACTTACTTTTTTTTTAAACCTTTTTTTACTGACTTTAATGCTCTCAATTTACATATAAGAAGCTACAATATGCAGTGGAGCTGAAGTGAGCTAACACTCCTATGTCCACCTTGGCAACTGACCCCTTTTAGATTATATAAAATATTTTATGCATTGGGAAAATCCAAATTTAAGTCACAGCAGCTTTAAATGTGCTGTGGGCTGTGGATGTCTATCTACGTTGAAGCTGATGCATGACTGAGCTGAATGATAGCACAACTACTGCTGGATGAAGTGGAAGCATGCCTGCTGACTTACAGGCTAAATGCTCTGTCCCTTTACATAACCATAATCGTTAGAGATCATTATGTGCCTGCACCGTCAGGTCAGTGTTTGAGCCTACTGAAGAACAAATCTCTATCCAAAATCACAAAATCCAAGCAGGACTTTATGTAAAGATCTTATACTGCCATCCTGCCTTAAGTCCCTAGGGTGCCAGCTAGTCCTTGCTCCAGGAAGGGTGTCGTCATAGCGACCACACCATCAGCACTGGGATAAAAATTGCACTGACAAAGATAAAAGTCACACAGAGAGGCCACTGTCTGATGCAGCACTGAGGGCATTAAAAATGTCCATCACCATATACAACATAAGGCGTGTTGGATAATGCACTCACCTGCAGACCGTGAGGAGGTTTTTCCTCTCCACCGCGAGGTTCCTAGTCGATGCTTTTTTCGAGACATCTCCCATGGCCATCGCTGCCTGCTCCATCCAGGAGTAGGCAGCCCTGGAAGCAAACGACCCCTCCCTGTGGGCCACCGGCCCTCCTCATTCACTTGTGGATGCCGGAGAGGATGCTGGCGGCCCGCGTCAAAGCCGCTGACAGACAGCGGCGGCACTTTGTGAGACGACGGAGGAAACTGCTCGACACATTAGACACACCAGAGCGCGCGGAGCGTGGGCTTTGTTTTTATGTTTACTTCTGTGACCTGCTCACGGGACTGAATTGTGTCTGCTCGAGCCCCCTCTTTCTGTCTCCGCCCACTTTTCTGACTTCATCATGCCGTCATTGGATCGTTTCGTGTCGTGCGGACCGAATTACGTCACCGGCTCCAGCGACACGCAGTTTCTTTGAGAGCTTAATATAATATATAAAGACCAGGGATTATTTATTTGTTTGTTTGGTTTTGTGCTCACAAATTTATATTTTACAAAAAAACCCCTAAAATAGACATTTAATATTTAATATTTATATTTGCAATATATGTATTGTTCAAAATCCTCATCATTTTATCTCTTTAAGATAGCAAATGCTCTATCTCAATTTTGGAAATTTCATTTGCTATAGTGATTGAAATGCACATTTTTATTATAATTATTTGTTAAGACTGTGTATGGAAAGTAATACAATCATTAAATTTATCAATTTTTATTTTGAACATATGATACATTTTATACACGTTGAAAGTTTATTTCGTTTTTTCTGTATGTTTAATTTATGCATCAATAATAAATGATAATTTTCTATATTATTATAAATAGATATAGAATAAGAGATGTGCTTGGACCTTTTATTTAATGCATTGTTTAAAGATTGTGTTGGATGTATTTGAGACTGAAATTTCTTTCTTTTCTTGTTTAATAACTGTTCCTGGTAAAAGCTTTGTAGCACAATAAACCTGATATCATCACCACCACTGCGGTCACCGTGCTGGCTCACTTCCTCCTCTCGTAATTTCCAATCAACATCCTCCGTCATTTCCCTGCTCTTGCTATTAGAGGAAAGTGCTCGTGTTTTCAGCTGATTTAGTGTCAGCACAGCAGTGGTGCAGACACGTTGGCCCCAAACCTTTTCTGCTCGAATGAAACGACAGCTGGTAGCAACCACAGGTTGGTTGGTGGGTGGGGGTTGGGAGCTTTTGGTCCTGGACTAAGACACAGATCTGTGTCTGCTCCACATGTCTGACAACACAAAATGTGTGAAAAGTTCATTTAAAATTCATTAGTTATGAATAAAATCATAAGCATAGCCTAAATGAATGATCCAGCATGTATATAATGATTCTAAAAATGCCGTTCTACATCATGAGAAAATTTTCTCTTACTCTGAATATATTTTTGATTATACAACTTGTGCAGAATAAATCTATGTGACTTTATAACTTTTACTGAAGTAAAAAGTCTAAATCCATAAAATTGTATGGCTGAGGAATAAAAATCTTGGACATGCCACTGACTGGGATTATATATATTTATGACACAATAGAGCTTTATAATATTGGAAATAATGTACTTGAAGGCTATGGCAGACTATGTTTCACTGTAAACAATAAGCACATTTCTTATGTCTTAAATGAGTCGGATGTTCTTTTCATGCTGTCCACTCCCCTCAGTGTCCCAAAATCACCTTTTCAGCAGAGACTTTATTCTAGTATCCTCCATAATCGCTTTATTATTATATCAGATATTTCAACCACAGCTTGTCTTTTGTCTTCTCTCCCTCCCCTCACCCCCAATTGCTCGTGGCAGATAGCTTCCTCTCCCTCAGCATTTTTGTGCTGGAAGTTTCTTCCTGTTAAAAGGGAGCTTTTCCTTCCCTCTGTTGCCAAGTGCTTGGTGAAACGGAGTTATCTCATTGTAGGGGTCTTAACCCTACAATGTAAAGCATCTTGAGGCAACATTTGTGATTTGGCATTATGTAAATGAACTAGACCATGTTTCAATTATTTATTTCTTGAATTCAATTAAATATTTCTTGTTTTTCTCTGTGTTTGGTCATTTTTTTCTTTATGCAGCTATTCCTTAGCTTCCAGTTATGTTTCACTGCCACTGCCAGATAATTAAAATCCATAAGTCACTTCCATTACTGCTGTACAGTTTATTTAAAATACTCCCCAAAACATTTCTTAAAATACAAGTGTTAAATTTACACATCATAAACACAGAACATGATTCTCTTTTAATGGGCATCTAAAATATGTACAGGTATGGTTTTCTGTCTGTTTCTCTGCGAATGCCGGTGGATTGTGGCTTAGAGGTTTGTCACTCCTGCTCCAGGTCTCCAAATGGCTCAGGTGCCTCTGTCTGTGAGTCAAAGATTGAGGGGAGTGTGTGAAATTCTGGACAGTGTTGTGAGGGCGTTCAGGGCAGAGGTTACACGAAAGAAGGAGTTGGAGTTTTGCCTGCATGGGGCGAGAGGTTCACGCATCAGCCTTCAGGGTCCTGTCAGACTGATAAATAGGTCTGCAAACCTGGACAGCGACAAACATGAAAATAAGTCCAGACATGCTGTCTAGGTGCCTTTAAATCTAATCTCATTGTGACATTTGGATTGTAAAAAGCGTTCACACCCTCATTAATGTGTGGCTGATATGTGGAGGTGTACATTTAGGCAGGGAAGGGCTGTAGGAAGTGCAGTTTGAACAAGGAGGTCAGTGTGAAAAATGCAACACAGGAAAGACGAGAAGAGGGAGAAAAAATTCTCCCTATTTATACATCCAGGTCTGTCCTTTGACTTCTCTGAATTCTTTAGTTTAGGATTTCTCCGTTCACATCAGCTTGAAAAATCCACAACACATCCACACACAAAAACATCTGTCTTTATGACATGAGAATTTAGATTTAGAGTTCTTAAATTGTGGTCCAGTCACTAATGGTAGCCTATGAAAGGATGCTCGACTGTACCGTGACAGCTTATGTCATACTATGATGTTGCAACCCTGAAATCGAGACCAGTATTGTATTATTATCATTATTTTTATCACACAACCATGACACTTACCACTATAAATATAACAAGCAAACTCTGATTAGCCATATTACAAGCAAGAATTGGATTGGATGCATGCATTTCTTTCTACTGTATGTGGTTCTGAGCCATTAAAAACTTCCCAGCTTTAGTCCCCAGATTTGCTTTTCTATAGTAACTAAAGTCTTTCAGCACCCTTTCACCAAATTAAGATGCCGTTGGATTCCCCTATTTCTCAAAATCCTCATCTAAACACACATAACAAAACATAAAGCAGTGCTCCTAATTGAGAAAACATGTAGCTTGCCGTGATATTTCAAAGTAGCAGCAATCACAAGATGGTCTCCAGCTCTTTGGGAGATAAGGAGCTGATTAGATCTTCTTCTCTGTGGCTTTTGCGGTCATCATCTCCTTTGTTGGCTTTGGCTTCTCTGGTAAAACCTCCTGACTCAGCACCTTCTGGTTTCCACACACCCAGCTCCTGCTGGGGGCCTGAGGCCTCGCTGTCAGTCGAAGTGTAAATACGTAGGTTGGTATGATGGTGGGGGGGAGTTGTGGAAACTTGACGTGGCAGTGGGGGTCTGACCCCAGAACCAGAGGCTCCACCTGAGCCAACCACCCCTCCAGCAAAGGACAGAGCTCTGGGATTGGCAGCAGACAGGCACACGCTGTGGGTGGTGGTATGTGACATCATGCCGCCGTAGTAACAGCTGCCTCCGCCGCTGCTGGTGATCCTCGTTTTCTGCTTGAGGTCTAGCACCAGGCTACGTCTTAACCAAGCCTTCTTTACCTCGGTTTGCACCTGGGAACAAGATTTATTTAATTTTAGTTCCTTTATTTTGTTTACCAGATAAAAAAATATATATAAATATGAGTCGATTCTGTATTGTAGCTTTATTACCTCACCATTGCAGAAACAGTAGATAAACGCCACAAAAAACCCCTGCAAAGATATGAGATTTTATTCAAAAGAATCAGCTTTCATTATCATTGCAGTTGAGCTTACAGCATATAATTGCATGCAGTGCTTGTTTTTATAAATGTGTCCTGACCTGGGAAGAGTTGAAGAACATCTCGTAATGCATCTGCCCCTGCCACAGCAGCCCAGTGACCTCAGTGTAGGGAAGAGCCATGAACACCATGTAGTGAACTCCAAACAAAGGCATGAGGACTAATGTGGACTTGAGTAGCTTCCTGCAGAACAAAGAGTTTATTTCATTGATGTTTCTTGTCAAACAGATGGGAGCTTAAAGTCCAGAGATTAAAAACATCCACTATTTTCCTTGGAGGGTTACCTGTACTGCTGTCGGGGGTCCAGTTTGCCCGTGTTGGTTTCCCACAGTTTAGAGGCCAGTACACGAATGATGTTAATGAACAAGAGAAAATTCACCTGCAGGGAAAGAAACCGAAATCCAGATTTAAAACAATATACTCAGAATATCAGTCTTTAATGCTCTTCTGATTTAAATCCCCTTTTCTTACAACAATCGCAGCCAGAATAGGGACTTGATAGATCCATTTCAAGTTTCCGGCACTGAGATCCCAGCATCTGGAAAGAGCCATGAATCTATTTCAGGGAGCATTTGTTGTAGGAGTGTAACGTAAACATAAGATAAATGGATCACATGACTCACTGAGTGTCTGCCAGTGAAGCTCGTGCGCTGACCCAAATGGACACAAACACAGCTGGAACACCTATGACAAGCACATGGGACTATTAGAAAAATTGGCATTAGTCCAAAGTGTCACCTGCCCCAGTGTCACTTACCCCAGCCAGTGATGGTGAGGGCCCACAGGTAGTTCTTGTCAGACAGGAAGGCCATGAAGATGAGACTATGGAGGTACAACCCCTCCACCAGGATCCAGTAATGATTTGTTGCCAGGAAGTACAGGAAGAGAGTAACAGCTGCTTTACAGCCAGCCTAATGACAAAAACAGAAAATATCAGCAAAACTTGTGATAATACATTCACTGATCACTTTGTTAGGTATACCTGTTCACCTGCTTGTTAATGCGAAAATCTAATCAGACAATCTCACGAGAGAACTCAGTGCACGATGTAGACATGGTCAAGGCGACCTGCTGAAGTTCAAATTGAGCAGCTGAATGTGGCATGGTTGTTGGTCCCAGACAGGCTGGTTTGAGTTTTTCAGAAACTGCTGATCTACTGGGAATTTCCCACACTACCATCTCTGAGTTTCTACTGAGGGTCAGTTCTCTGGGAACTAAAGTATGCAGAAGAGCATCTCTTAAGGCACGTGTTGAACCTTGGGCTACGGCACCAGAAAAGATCACCGCACTTCTGTCAGCTAAGAACATGAAACTGAGGCTGAAACGTTGTGTGGTCTGATTAGTCTCAGTTTCTGCTGCTACAAAAGTAGGGCAGGTGGTGGTAGGGTCAGAATTTGGCACAAATCACCAGATCTCAGTCCATTACAGCAGGTGTGGGCAGTGGATTCCTGTTGTGGATGAAGAAATGAGAAATGTGCTGTAACTGTCATGTAATGAGTGTGTGGCGAACATGGAGTGGACCCAGATGCAGGACTGATCAGTTGGATTTAGACTCAAAATGTCAACTTTATTAAGGTGGAGGAAACAAAAGATAAACAATGACTAGGCAGAGTAGAAACTGATAAAAGTGACTGATTGAGATCACACATAAAGTGAAGGAGAACGTGATGAAGAACAGAGGAAGATGCAGACAAATAATACACACGAGTGTGATTAAGGGATGTGGAGACGCATGGGAACAGAATCATAACTAACAAGACAAGGACGTCATAACTCAACATAACACATATGAGACAGAGGACTATCAAAATAAAACAGGAAGTAACACGCACACACACACACACACACACACACACACAAAGACTCAGACTAAGGCATGTGAACTTGACACTGGGACTCGGGATAAACTCAAAAGGAGACATGACAGGCTGGGGAGACAAATGGAGAGCACACAGAGACAGGATTACAAAGTTATTAAATAGACAAGACAAAAACTGTAGACAGCCATGAAGACAAAACACAGAGAGACCAGACGAACACGGTGACATAACCGGAAAGAAAGAGTAAGAGTAAGAAAACAGAGATGAGAGATGGGACTAGGACAGACTGGACAGGAAAGAGGCATTCACATGATAAAAACAAGAAACTGGAAGTATAAATACTAAAAACTCAGAGGCACTAGGAAAACTGAACTCAAAAGTAACTAATGCAGAAAACTAATGAAAATCTCTTCATTCCAAAAGAAAGAATCCCAAGACCAAAACAAACTCAAAACACTCTGTCAGAGACCCAGCATCCTTAGGCAAGATACTAAGCCCACGGTGCTCTCTGATGCATCCATCGGAGTATGAATGTTAGATAAGTGTAGAAAAAAAGTTCTTATATGAATGAGGTGTTTTGAGTGCTTATGTGCAAATATGGTTTGTTTAGCTTTGCAAACAGGCCATGCCATTGTGAACTACCGCTACTGTGCTGACTGCCATACAGCCGATAGTCTTGATCACAATGAAGTATTTAAAAAATGAACAAAACTGAATAACTGGTGATAAGAAATAATGCGACGTTACAATTTACCATATGGGGCTTCTGTCCTGTAAAGTTGGGCTCAGCTTCACTGCCATCAGATATGGAGTAAAGCACAGCGTCCTTCACAAAGATGCTGACCGCTCGACAGATGAAGGAGGTGAAGAGGTGAACGTGGATGTAATTGCGTGTGCAGTGGAGACGCCTGAAAGAGAGGAAGACGTCTTTGGATGCAACAGACTGAAGTCCGGAGATGCTGTTCGGTTACAGGTTTATGGATCAAAGCTCGTAAGCTGTTTTCTTCTTACTTGAAGTAGCAGAGAATGAAGACTGCCACCAGCAGGGATGCGAGAGAAATGGAGTAGCCGATGGTGTACATGAGATGGAGTCGCTCAAACACCTTCTGAAACACAGCAAAACATCTTTTCATATCTGGAAACAGAAGTGACTGAACAGATTTGAACACATTGGTAATTTTGTATCTTCAGCACAATTAGCACACTGGAGGGAAAAGGTCTTTTGAAGACAGGCCTAGAGTATTTTGTAAGAATATGGCCGGTTTACACATATTCTGTCATGTAAAGATGCAAATGCACACTTACACATTACCACAAGAATCTTTAGTGAACCATCAAAGCTATAAACATAGAGATTTGACACAAAGACTAGCATAGCACTTATAGAGAAAATTTCGAATCTAAAAATACTAGCAAAAACTTGATGTAAAAAAGAAACGATGTATTGTAACATAAAACCTTGTAAAAGATCATTTGTAACCTGGGCGTAATAAAGTTGCAATACTGAAAGAGCTAAAAAAACAAAACAAAACAAAAAAAGAATATGGCTGTTGTTGTACTGTCTTCTAAAGAAGTTCTGTCTCTTTTCTGCTGTTAGATAAACGTGCACAAACAGATTAATTCAACCCAGCACTGGATCAAATGCACACACCTCCTCGTGGCTTCTGTGATTGAAGGTCAGGTATCTGGTGCATTCGCTGTAGTTTGCCCAAGTGCGGTTGATGCTTGCCACCTGCTCCCAGTTGCCTGACACATCACACTGACGGTAGGCTCGCCCTGTCCATGGGAGGGCAGGACATAATGATTAATTTTTTGAATAAGGAAATCTTTGATTTTATACTTTTCAGTTGCATTTTTCTCAAAACTACTGCTGCCTGGTTATTGAGGTTGAAGGATGCTTTTTATACTGTGTAGATGATCAGATGCTAGTATCTCTGGAGCTCTGCTACCTCTGTGGTTGAAGTCATAGATGTACTCCGGGCACTGAACTGAGACCAGCTGACCTGCTGTGCTCTGTGGCCAGCAGATGATCCCATCCCACTCTGGGGTGCAGTCGCCATCTTCAACAATGGTGTGAAAAAAGTGTTAGCAAGCTGATAGATCTGTGTATAGTTCACACATTGTGCCACCTAACGCTGTACTTTTATTCGTAGACTGCTCTTGAGTAGCTTTGCATGATTCAAAACTTAAAATAATCCTCAGTGATTTAAACTTCAGTTCATATTTTATCTGAAACAGGCCCCTCCTTGACTCACAAGGATAACTTATACATGAGCTGCCCTCATTATCTAAAACCTCTCCATGTTTAATATCAGAGGTGAAAATCACAGAACAACCCACAACATCAGTGTATTGCAATTTGTATCTTTTTGCAATATACTGCAATATATTATATTCCAATTCATCACCTTTTTTTTAAACTGTTAATTATTTCCTCAAAGTTAGTCACCTCAAGGTGCTTTATATTGTAAGGTAAAGCCAGAGAAAACCCCAACAATCACATGACTTCTACAAGCAAGCACTTGGCGACAGTGGGAAGGAAAGCTCCCTTTTATGTGAAACAATTCAATACAGCTCTGCAGTATTGCCACACAACAGATTACAATACTATGCTGTGTCGATTTTTCACCCCACCCCTATTTAATACCACTGTAAGGGTATATATGTGATACACAGTTAAGGGGAGTATAACTGGTGCATTTGAAATAAACATAAACAGAAAAAATACATATAAACACAAAAGTATACCCATATACCTATTAATCTTTTTTACATGACCATAATGTTACATCATTAAGTTACCGAAATACTAAATAGGATTTTAATGCTGCTACCAGACAAAGTTTAGCTAATTTAAACTTCTTTAAATCACATTTGGCTGCTTTTACCTGTAATAATACATCATATAAGACCATTATTGTCTTTTTATGGCACTTTTAGCACTCCATATATAGATTTCCTTCAATATTGGAGGTAAAATTGTAAATGAGCTGATGCATAAACATACTTGCTTCAAATGCTTCCTCAAGATTGGTAAATCAATAAAAATGTAACACTTAAAGCTTGAGTCACATTTCCTGAGAAGATTTGTAATATTTAATAATACCGCATTGAATCAGCTTATCAAGCATCAGCTTCTCCATCGCATTTCCAAATTAAAAATGCCTTGCTGTGTAATAAAAGAGATATTGGAAAGCAGGATATTGGACTGGGTGTTGCATCTGATCCTAAATAAACAAGTGATGCAATAAACAGTTGATCTAATTGTGTGTTTGGACGTGCACTCACTGACCGCCTGTTAAAAAAAGGCTCTTATTTGACAGGACCTTCTTTGAAATATTAAAAGTCAGACATACTTCCAGTGTTGACTGCTTTTTATTTCTAACTGGAGGCTCACAAAGTCATAGAAAGTATTCAAAACCGGGGGAAAGCAGTTCCATAAAGAGGCACTCTGTATAGTGTTTAAAAAGAAGTCCCCAAACCTTTAATGAGGGGCATTTGTGCCTTGATGCTCCTTTCACATCTGGCATGAGCACCAATCAGAAGGTAGATCTGCTCATCCCGTGTGATGACATCATCAGAGTCAATCTGTAAGAAAAGGAACAAAAAAGCATCACATGAATTATGAAGACACGCCCACCAAGTTCTCAGTAATACTACGTATAGATACATTATTGCATATATGTCATTTCAATGGTAAACAATAGAAAACAAGATTAATACATAATGATCAGCATAAATCATGTCATTTATTTATACTGAAGGGCCATATAACCCATCTATGCATCGTTCTGAGATGATCCTCATGAAACTCTCTCTGAAGTGATTCATCAACCACAACCTCTCCCAAAGATCTGATGTGCTGCCTCCAGGTGTTGTGAAATAGTTGTGTGAGAGTGCGGTATGTGATGATGGCCCGCCAGGCCCTTTATTCACAGCAGCTGGGCTGCCGCTGGCCACACGGGGATCTCATCCTCGGGGGCCATGCTTGTGTGAACCGGTCAGCACAAGCAGCTTTGTGTTCCCGGGTGCATTTCACGACTGAGCATCAAAACTAGCAGAGCATGAGAACGGTTTGGCAGAGGGGAGCAGCGGAGCAGACAGAAGATTTGCAAAGGAAGAGAAACAAACAAAGCAAACTGCCACCTCTTCAAATTATCAAAAGTCCTTTTTTTCTCCTTTAAAATTCAGTTTTTTTAATTGATGCTTTAAGGGCCTTGTAGTGAATCAAATGGCCTGGAAGTCATATAGACGGACAGACTGTATTAATCCCGTAATTACAGCAGCACAGGGATCAGCAAGAAGTACAAACTAATAATATGAAACATTGAAAAACAAAATAAAGAAGAAAAGAAATCTAGTATAGAAATTAAAAAACAAAAAAACCATATAAGTAATTTCTACTGTCATTCAGTGGACTTTGGCTTGAATAAAAGAGGTGAGTACTGACTCTCACATGCTAAAGAAAACGATTTAGTTGATTTATAAATTACCATGTAGGTAAATGAATACAACGTCACAGTGAAATAAACTGCAGCTGGCTAAATGTTTGTTTCTAGTAACGCTGGACGCTGAGCAGCGATCATTCGCTGTAGAGGTTTGATTAATGTTTACTGTCAAGCAACCCTTTGAGTAAATATAGAAAATCGGAGGTTTATTTATTCAGATAAATAATCATTTAAACATTGTGCTTATGTAACAAGATTAATTACTTAAAGTTACCATTTTGGGCATAAATATTTTTTGAGTGTATAAAGATGCAAAACGTATGTCTGCTTTATAATAAAGGTGAGAAATCCTGTTATCAACATTGCTAATAGATAATAATTGGTAAACAGAAGTAATACTAATACTAATGGTAAATAATTAAAATCTTTAACAACGTGTAACTCTGAGGATTTGGTACTTTGACTTGTTTTTCAAATTTTATTTCAGTGATTTTAGGAAATGATAGATCTGAAAAAAAAGAAAAATTGATTTATAAAACTTTATTAGATGTTACTTTTGCAATATAATGACTAAGCAGAACAATGTAAAGTGGAGGAAAAACGGTCTATCATATCATGTATGGACCAACTTTGAAACACAGACTATAAAGTTATGAATACCATTGTTGGTAATAGCTGTAGTTGTGCAAATGAATTTCAAAGGTTCAGCTACACAAGTCAATCAACCCTCAGACCTGTAAATGCAACAACATCCGGCTTCTTCTAGAAATATCTTTCCACAATTTCACTGCACTTTCATTTCTTGCCTTTTTGCTCCTGATCGAGCGCACAGGTGAGCCGGTAGCACTGACACGCTGTAAATCGCTCTATTTTCAAGATTATGTTTAATTTTTTGCATTGGAGAACTCAAGACTAGCTGCTTATGTGTCCTCATCAGTGCTTGGTTCTGAACCACATAACTGAAATTAAGAAAAAGCAACATTAAGAAGCTAAGGCACCAGGTGGCAACACAGACTATAGGGGGCTTTTAAAATGTGTTAATCTTATAAGCAACACATTTTTAAAACTGGGAATGGGAAGAAACTTGATAAATAAATAATTAAAATGTTTAAAATACATATTATATGTTTAAATATTCATTTACTTTTTATGTCACAGGGAGCCACTGGAGATTGATAAAAGGGCCGCGTGTGGCTCTGGGAGCTGTAGGTTTGAGACCCCTGGTTTAGCATATCCAGGCATCCTGTGTAGTTCAAACCCTTCACTGTTGAGTGGATTGGATCTAACAGAGAAGTTATCTGGGCCTCTTAATACAGAAGGGGAGCTTTTTTGTTTTTCTCCCGACACAAACTGTTTAAACTGCCTTAGCCTCCCACCTCCATGATCCTGTTATCCTGTCCGAGATCAACACTCAGGATGGACACGGGGGAGATCCAGAGATGAAGAAGGGCACTTACGGTCACTGTTAGCATGCTTCAGTCAGCGAAAGGTTAAAAGGGTCAAAGCTGATTATGGTTTGTGAGGTAAAGCAGACCACAGGTGACTTCTGATAAAGGAGAGGGATGGTTCTTGTGCTGCTGTGATGTGAAGTTTTTTTTCTCTGCCTCGAGAAGAACTATATTAATATATCCACTTTTTATATGAAAAGAAGTATTTTTCTACTCAATTAAATTTCTTATGAGCTTTTTTATAATTTGTCTCAGTTGTCTCATGGTTTGATGCGAGATTCACTCAAAATAGAGGAATGGAGGTGGGTTAGAATACTTTTTATTTTCCTCAGCAGGACTGCTGGAAAACTTATTCCTTATCACCCCATCAGTTAACTAAGAAGACACTGTCATCTCAGTCTTGCTGCTGAATGTCTGGCATGTTTCCTGAAGCATTAAATAAATCTAATTCAAAGCATCAAAGCGGATCACAGATACATGAAATTTTCTAACTTTGGCCCAAACTGCAGCAGTGCGGATGTGTCATGTCTGACTCAGGGTCATAATAAAGTGTAAGATATGCTGCTGCTGTGTGAAAAGTTTAAATTTAGGACACAAGACGCAAGTGAGACTAAGAATTTATCTACTGCTCCAATCCGTTTAAGATCATTATTAGCCCTTTTAAGTAAAGTTTGCTTTGAAAAAGCTTACATTAGTAGAAATCATCAAGAAAATTCAATATCTGGGTTTAAATTGCACTTATTTGACCTCATTTATGTTAACAGTAAAGCAGCAGAGAAATAGCAGCAAACCAGGAGTAAAATATTTTCCCCTGACAAACCCCATCAGTGAATAACTGTTCAATAATTAAACAATTTAAATATTATGAATGTAGTCAACTTACCAGCGCTGAGGCTGTTATTACACCGTGGAAAAAGTAAAAAACAATAATTCCTTGTGCAGACAACATGATGTCTCTCCAGCTGAAACAGAACAGCACACCTTTCACTCTCAGATCATTTTATCCTCTTCAGGTTGTGCTGAAGGAACTTTGTCCTAAAGTTAATGTTCTTCTCTCGTGTCCCATCTGTGCTCCTTTATTAGTCAACAGGAACTGTGTTTTGGAGTCTCTTGAGGTCCAGAGTTTTCTGCATGAAGCTCAGTTGACATTACTAATGAGTTTTGAGGGGCTGTCTGTGGTTGGATGATCTCTCTTTGGGGAAGAGAGGAGCACTGAGGAGGAAACCTCCTCCTTCGCTGCTCTTAGGACTGTTGGGATGAGATGGGTTGGCCTTGATATGCTGTGGCTTCCATTCACTTAACTCTTTGCTCTCCTCTGCTGTCATTATCTCTCTGTGCTTGACATTTGGCTTGTTTGTCTGCCTTAACCTGGTCTTTTCTATTCCCACTAATAGGACTCTTAGTTTTTACTAGTAACATAATTTAATACTTGGTTTACAGCATGAGTATCCCGCACTGGGAGACTTTAGAAAGCAGTGATACAAACCAGACTCATAGAACTACTTACCACACCAGTTAAAGTAATATATATTACATAATATATATTCTGATATGCATGAATGACAAATGCACAAATTATATGACAAACATTGTTTTGACAGGCATTTTTGAAGAACTTATATTTGTATGCATGGTGATAGTCTGCTGTACTCAGTGGTCCTCAGCCACAATCAGAAAACCCAGAGACACTTTAGATTGCCATGGTTTTACTCTATCATATGTTTTCCTGGTTCCATACATTTAAAAAGTAATAAAGCAACAGATAAATAAATAAATAAATAAATAAATAAATAAATAAATAGGAAAGTGAAGATGAGTCTGCATTCGATAAACAATACCTCTGACTTATCAATAAAGGTGTCTCTGTCATCTTTTATTTTCTACTTTTTCTACTTTTTTTTTTACTGGTTTGAAGTTGTTCTAGTGAGGTAGTACCATCTTGTTTTGGGGGTGCTACTGGTTTGTGACCTGCTGATGATGTCAGATGTTCACTTTGTGATGTCAGACTTTATCATATGTGCTGCACTTGGGTTGTTTATGTGATGAGAAGCTTGCCCACATTTTCCAACTGTCTGGACTAGTGAATGATGAAGTTTGTTCAGTTTGTTTCTTATTTTTATTTCTTATTTATTCTCATCCCAAACCAGTCGCTACAGGTGCCTGCTCCTCCCTGAGCCTAGTTCTACCAGAGGTTTCTTCCTGTTGCCAACTTCTTGCTTAAAGTGCGTCATGTTATTCTAGGATCTTAACTCCACAATATAAAGTACTTTGAGACAACATTTGTGATTCGGGATTATATAAATAAAACTGAATGGAAATGAATATTTTCTGTGTTTGTTGTGCGTGTTTTGTAATCCTTTCTTTTTGTTTTCCTGACTATTGTTGGTTGTTCGGGTTTTCTTTGTATTATTGTAGGATCTTTACCTTAAAACATAAAGCGCCTTGAGACGACTGTTGTTGTTATTTGGCGTTTAATAAATAAAAATCTTTTTTTAAATTCATTTTACAACTACTAAAGACAAAATTGGTAAGTGAGAATGTAGTTATTAATTCATTAAATGTTCTATTAACATTTCCGTAACTCCTGTGGTCAGTTATTTAAAAATATATGTATAGTAATGCACACTATTACGAATTTACTGTATCACAAATGTCATGATTTAAAATAATTTAACAGCCTTTATTTTGACAGGTCCGATTCCGACGTCATCTCAACCCGGAAGTACCGGTCTGACAACAAGGGCAGAAGCAGCTGCGTGCTCTCCTGACTTGTCAGCTCGTAAGTTGGAAAACTTCAGACAGTTTTTATTATTTACTGTGGTTACAGCAAAGTTTGGAGCTCTCTCCCTCTGACGGAGACTTTCAGCTCACTCATTAAACGTAGTCTTTGCTCCACATTTCCCACGTGTGGGACTAATAAAGGTTATCTTATCTTATCTTACATGTGCAGCAGGAGCGTTCATGTAGTTGTGTGTCTGTGTGTGTGAAGGGCATGGCGGCTCCGGTGCTGCTGCTGTTGAGAGCTCTCCGCCCCCCTGTGTCCGCGGCTTGCAGCAGGTTCCCGTCTCTGGAGCCAGTTCTCCCGCCGTCTTCATGTGTGGTGTCCTCAGGGTGGAGGACTCCTCCTGCCCGGACACTGCAGCTGTGCCCCGCTTTGTGTGCCGGACATAACAAGTGGTCAAAGGTGAAGCACGTCAAGGGACCAAAAGATGAGGCGAGGGGGAGGATGTTTATGAAGTTTGGTATGATGATAAGAATAGCTGTCAAAGGTACGTGAGAATGGGTTTTGTTTTGTTTAATCGGAGCTTCACTGCTTTACGGTTTCTGATTGGATAAAATTTCACTTCTGGTTGTCATCCTCAGAAGGTGGATCTAACCCAGAGCTGAATCTAAATTTGGCCCACATACTGGAGCAGTGCAGGAGCAAGAACATGCCCAAAGCATCCATAGATGCTGCAGTCAAGAGTGCGGTAGGTTGATAACCTTACTGGCACAGAGATACAGAAAGCATCTGTGGTGCCACTTCAAACAGATCCTCCCCAGTGTGAGCACAGAGCATGTTTGCAGGTTACCTGCATCCAATAGTTTTTATGCATTGTTTAGCCGGGTAGCAGTCTTAGGTGAGGGTCATTAAAAATCTATAAATATATCAATAAAATGTGACACAGTTAAGAACAAGTCAATGGAGAACACACAGTCCCCGTTTTATCCACTCTTAGATTTAATTTTTAAGATTTTCTTGCTTGTTTTTAATTGTTTGAATTGTCCTGCCCCCTTATTTATCTAAGCTTTTAACCATCCACACTCCATTACAGCACTAAGGTCTTCTAATCAGATGATTCTGGATGCTCTTATCACAGGGCTAAAAAATAACGGGCATCTGGCATTTTCAGCTTTAGGCTCTTCCCTGTGGAACCACCTACCCCAGAATATCATTAGAGACCTTTGAGTTCTTACTCAGAACTCACCTGTTTTCCCTGGTTTTTAATTTGATTCCAGTAACAGTTGTTTTAAATGTGTTGTACTATTAATTCGCAGTTTGCCCATCACAGAAATCTTAAAGCCTGCTGTAAATACAAGAGTCAGTGAAAATCTAATGTGGTGGTGTACAAAAATATCAAAAAGTGTAATTGTCCAAATACTTAAGAACATAACTGTATGTGTTATTTTTTGTGATACTGTGCTGCAGTCATCTTCTCGTCTTGTGTCCTGTCTCTGCAGGAAAAGGCCAAGCCAGCATCTCAGCACATGTTTGAGGCTCGGGGACCCGGCGGGTGTCTGCTGCTTGTCGAAGTCCTAACCGACAACAACTCACGCACCCACCAGGAAATCAAACGCCTGCTTAACAAGAATGGGTCAGGCCCGGCTTCCTGTAGTCTCACCTTTCTGTAACTGTGTCAGGTTTACGAGCGTTTTCACACCATCGCCGATGGTTTTAGTGTTAACCTGCTCGACATGTACTTAAGGTTAACAGATGCATCAATTTTCTCTCACACAAAACAAATCCCAGCTGTATGCAAAATCAGTGTTAACAAATCTTAAGAGATTACCTGAGAATACCTTGATAAAATATTCAAAACATGCCAGAGGAGCAGTGTTTTAATTTTTAAAGATTAGGAAAAAAAAAACAAAGAACATGGACAGAGAATATCAGATTGTTATAGGAAATTTCAGGTTTCTACACACACTATACAAAAGATTTGTTGTAAAGTAGCCAGTAGATGTCCCTCTAGTTGCAGGAAACAGCAGTGATGAAAGCTTAATAGTATGTTGTAATGTATGTCTTTATTAAAGATTGTATTGCTGGTATAAGTGATGAAAAAACAGCAGGGAGATGTATTTAAGCTTGCTTGTTTACTACTAACATGTTCTTATTGTTTTTATTCTTTTATTGAAGAAGTAAACGTATCTGTTTGTAAGCCTTCGGAATAAAATTTTTTTTTTAAATTCTGCTTCCATCCTCAGGGGGATGCTGTCAGACGGAGCCCGGCATAACTTCCAGAGGAGGGGAGTGGTGGTCGTGCCAGGTCAGAACATCACCACGGAGAGAGCACTGGAGCTGGCCATCGAGGCTGGAGCCGAAGACGTCCAAGAGACGGAGGATGAGGAGGAGAAGCCCCTGCTGCAGGTCGGACATCAACCTCCAGGAAAATGATTTCAGTTTTGATATGTGCCTTTAAATAACTGATTGGAATGATTTAATTCTTCGAGATACCGACAAACAGATGTTTTTTTTCAGTTTTCCATACAGTACAGTAGAACACACAACCTTCAGATCTGTCCTCAGGTTAAATACAGTTCAGTTTGTGCATTCAATACAAAATGAAAAAAGAAATACTCAAGGTCTCTGAAATGTAGAAATCTAAAATAATAATAATAATTACAATATTAAAATAATAGGTACAAATTTTATTTAACAGCTTGATCTACCTCTTTGTCTTTAGTTTCTCTGTGATGTGGCTGACCTGAATAAGGTGAGGGCCTTATTAAAGGAGCTAGGAATGGAGGTTTTATCCTCTGGGCTGGAGTTTGTTCCCCGCACACACGCACCCCTGGACGAGGATCACCTCGATGCTGCTTCAATTCTAATAGAAGCCCTCAATGACTGTCCAGATGTAGTCAGAGTGTGGGACAACATCCAGGCTCACAGCTGAGGACAGTCTCTGGACACTAGGTGGACACTAACTGTGGAATATTGGAGACAAAGGATTTGCCAGCTGACACCTCATGGGTGCCGATACTGCATGTTATCAGTAAGAACAGAGTCTTGAAATTAAAATTGAGAGTCTGAAAGTGTGACTGTATTAGCCTTATGGATGTGGTCTGTATGTGGGGGGGAAGCCATCCTGAAATACACTGTGCTGTGGGAAGTGAACTGCATCTCCATACTGATGAAAGAATTCATCATGTAGGTTTGTAAAAGTTATTAAAAGAGGTGTTTTAATGAGTCCTTTTTGATTGAACATGACCTCAAAGTTAACCTTTGGACTCATAGAAGGAACAAGTGTTTGTGGATTAGCACGGATCAGTTTAAAATAAAACTTCAGCCCTCATCCAGACATGAGAGACAGCTTTGAGTAATGCTTTTGTCTAGAATCTGTTTTCTATAATAGTCACAGTAGAAACATGCACAATAGACATGCTGAAAAAATGCAAACAACAGGTCATAACATGTTTTTATCCTCTGGGCCTCCAGGTCAGAAGGTCACACTTTAACTGGCCCACAAAAAAATCTAATTGATTGGCTTCCTATAGTCCCTGCTTCATCCATAATACCTCGTCATTAAGATAAATGTGTTTGTAAAGCACCTTTCAAGGCCAAAGTCAGAAAGTGCCTGGCAACAAATGAAAAAAAATGAAATACAGTATATCAGATACATCAACAACACAAAGTCTTACATATAATTACTGAAATGCATGTCTGAGTAGGAATGTCTAGCCTTTTTTAAAAGCCTCTTCTGAATCAGTAAAACAAAGATAAGTGCAACTCATGCCACCCCACCCCAAAGGCCTGGTTTCCACTCATTTTAAAATGAGACACCACCAGCAGTCTGTTCCAAAGTCCTAAGGGTTGAAAGAGTGGGTCAGTAAGAGTTTTAACATATGCCGGGGTGCATTGCCATTTAAATTTTAAAACTGACTAGAAAGTCAACAGGGAGTCAGTGAAGATATATTAAAGTTAGGGGATATGAGATCTCTTTCTGGAAATATTAAAAGACACGCAGCTGCATTTAGGACAGATCACAACCAATTATTAGTCCAAATCTGCAAAATAACTAGTAACTAAAGATTTAAAATAAATTTAGACTCAGCTCAGCTCTAGGTATCACTGCGAAAAACAAAGGCTGTGGTAAACAAACCAGCAGGGCCGGTGATGGTAACTTCTCTTTCCTTTAAAGTGTCCAAAACAGGCAGTTAGATAAAGAGCGTTCAGCCGTATGATACAGAATTGAAAGAGTATGTTTATTTTTTTAAGAGTTAACGTTGTAACGCATTATTTCCTTAGCAGGTACTAAAATAACCTCAGATGAACAACAAATATTGATATTAAATTATTTGATAGTTTTTTGCTGCTTTTGTACAAGACCAAAGTGGAACATGTGGGGAAACCTAAACACAGCACAAACACCTCATGCCAACTGTTAAACACGGTGGTGGAGAGGTGGTGATTTGGGCTTGTTTTGTGGCTACAGGTCACTGAGTTGACCATGAACACCTCTGTATACCAAAGAATTCTACAGTCAAATGTAAGGCTATCTACTTGACAGCTAAAGCAGGTCAATGATCCAAAGCACATCAGCAAATCTACAACAGAATGGTTGAAAAATAAAAGAATGAAGGTGCTGCAATGGTCCAGTCAAAGCCCAGACCTCAGTCTGAGTGAAATGTTGTGGAGGAACTTTAAGAGAGCTGTGCAAAACAAATAGTTGCAAAACTCAATGAACTGAAGCAATGCTGTAAAGAAGAGCTGGAGAAAAATTTCTCAAGAATGATGTGACAGACTGATAAAGTCAAAAAAGAAAATGAATAACTAGTATTTCTGCTAAAGTTGGTTCTGCAAGCTATTGTATCTGTTTGCATCATAAGGGACCTCAAAGGCCAGAAACCCCATCACTGGCCAAAACAGACCCTCATCTGACCAATGAACTTTCCTGATGTACTTTTTTCTTGGCCCTGGGCCATCGGGTCATCGATTAGGTTGACCTCTGAAAACATTTGGCAGTTTTTCAGTTAGGGCATGTAAAGTATAGGCGTGATACATCGCTTGTCTACTGTTAAATATTTTCCTTTGTCATCAAAAATGTTTTAAAAGAGGAAAATATGATATAACGTTTTTAAGAACCAAATAAAAGAAATACAGATGTTAAAGGTTACAGCTGAAGGACAATGTCATAATGGGTCATTTCTCCCTTGTATTAACTGTAGTGTCAACATTTTAATCAATAAGCTTGCACTTCAGCAGTTTGCATGGAACATATGGAGTGGACACCATTCCCAACTTTGTTTTGAATTTTTCAACTTCATATCATGCAGCCTGAACTATACTCAAAATATAATCTAATTTTAATTTAAACCAAATTAGAAAGCTGAAATGATAATTTGATGTCAACAGGGAGATCTAATGTAATGGCTCTGAGCCCATTTGTTCTGTTATCAATGCTCGTCATCGATTTTCCGGTCGGTTCTTCTCAGCTATAGCGTGGCATTGATTGGTTTCCAGTGTCGGGGAAAGTTGCACAGTCGCATGCGAGCAGCAGGACAGTCCTCCGCTGCGTGCCAGAGTGAAGGCTTCAATACTGACATCTGCAGCCACAACAGAAACACAGAGTACTTTTGTTTTACTCAAATATGAAAGAGGAGACTGAATGTTTTCGAAGACACTTGTCCAAAAAGTGTTTGAAATGATGGATATTTTGGATGCGTATATATGGTAAAGGAACATCTTACTTTGAAGTTTCAAATCAGGTATGTCCTGTTCACTTTTAGTGATGTTTGACTGAAGATTTGATTGACTATTGAAAGATTGTTCAGCTATGTAAATCCTGCCTTTGCCATGCAGGGATTAAAGTATTGACTCCTTGCACTATGTGAGGGCATAGTATTTTGGGAGGGGCACAGCTAGACTTGCATTCTGGGAAATTTAGAGTACAGAGGAGTTTGTATTAGGAAACAGAGCTGTATCAAGACGTTTTCAATAAGTGTCTTTATATAAACAAAAGCATAATAAAGTAAATTACATCAGGCTTACAATAATGGTAATCTTAATACACTAACTATTGTAATATTATGAAAAAGTCAAAATTCTTTATAGAAAATGATCAAAATTTTTTTTTTTGAAACCAGCTTGGATGTGATCTCTTTAGTCTAAATATAAAGGAGTGTTTCTCTAATCATATACAGGACAGCAAAGCTCAATGTCTGACTCAGACCTCATGAAGGGTGGGGGACCGGCCATCAGGAGCCCCGAATGCCGTTCATCTCCGACTCCTCGAATGGAGTTCCACGGCTCCTTCAAAGTGGGGGAGCGCTCGCCCAATGTCACAGAGAAGGTCACACAGGTATGGCAGCTGAGAACCTCACATGGGCTCTGCAGGTCCCATTTATGAGATCCAAATGACTGAAATGTATTGCCATTAATGATCACATTCACTGCTGACCTGGTTCAGTCCATCACTGGATGTGAAAGTAATCATGTTTTTAAATACTGAGAACAAGATGGGCTCTAGAAAGTTTCCACGCTGGAAGACTTCTGTTAATTAACCTTTTAAAATCAGTTGGTGATCAGGTGACTGGTTGTATTCATCATTGGGTGTGAAGTAGAACCTAAAACTGAGCCACAGTTAAATTAACACCTACTGTTAACACTGCTGGACCCCTAAAGCTCAGTGACCTGCATCACTGCTCTGTGGGATCATGTGAGATGGATTCAAAACAAATGGAAGGGGCATGTGAACTTCCATGGGGGTACCCGGTAATCCCTGTCTCTCTGACTGTCAATAATCTAATTTATCTGTCTTTTTCATAGAGTTATTTGCAAAGTTGGTGAGATTAAATAATACGATATTGAGGGTATAGGCAGAACTCAATGACAGTGAAAGCACATGACCAACTCATCATTATTGGCTTCCAGCAAACCAACATCCTGCGTTCAGTCAGTTCTTAGACTGTTGATAACAGGATGTTGTTATTTTATCTATCTTTAAGGTTTTGTGAAATTTTGGATATGGTTCCCTTATCTGGATCTAACTTTTCTGCAAGTCTTGTGTCTGCTGAAAGACACTAATGACAGGATGGTCAAGGATTTGTTGGACCTACAAGGTTGCAAAACTAAAGCACGCAGCCTCCAACGAGAACCTGGTCAAAACAGTACGTGCTCTAACAAGGTCTATTGGTTAGTTTATGAGAGAGATTTAATAGAAACACTAATATTTGTTTTGTAGAAATCTAGGTTTACTGTTTTCCTTTGCATGCAAAAGATTAGGTGTTCTTTTCATCAAAGAAAGAAGGGATTTGGGTACATGATGGATATTTATTCACCTTCTGGGAGAAGAAGTATATTCCTCAAAATCAATTAAAACAGCACTCGTTAAATATTTTGATTTCCCTGTGAAATAGGTAAAGAGCATACTGATGAATTCTTTATATGCTTAGGTTCTCTCTTTGGAGTCTGATGTGCTGCCTGAATACAAACTCCAGGTACCAGAAACGACATGGTGGATCTTGCTTCACTACAGCCCCTTTAAGGCATTTTGGGACTGGATTATTCTCCTTCTGGTCCTCTACACAGCTGTTATTACTCCTTACTCAGCTGCCTTCCTGTTGGCTGAAAATGGGGATTTACGCCAAAGGAGTTGTGGCTACACATGTAACCCTCTAAATGTGGCAGATCTTACGGTGGACGTGCTGTTTATTGTGGATATAATCATCAACCTTCGGACGACCTATGTGGACCAAAATGACGAGGTAGTCACGCAGCCGAGCCAGATAGCAAAGCATTACATCAAAGGCTGGTTCCCTATTGATTTGTTTGCAGCAATCCCGTTTGACCTTCTCATTTTCAGATCAAGCTCGGACGAGGTAAGAATTCTGATTCTTTGTAAAGCTTCAAAGGTTTTTATCCTTAAGTGTCTAAACTTTAAAAGTTGTTCCCTATTGAGTTTCAAAAGTTATTGAAGCTGTTTGACCTTTTATCTGCCCATCCCTGTCTTACATGTTCCCTCTTGTTCATGGATACCAAAGATGGCAACCTTAACAAGCCTCCTGAAAACAGCTCGGCTATTGCGATTGGTCCGTGTGGCAAGAAAGCTTGACCGATATTCTGAATATGGTGCTGCTGTCCTCTTCTTGCTCATGTGCACCTTTGTACTCATCGCCCACTGGCTAGCGTGCATGTGGTATGCCATTGGCTTTGTGGAGAGGCCGTACACTGAGACTGGTTGGCTGGACAACCTGGCTGAGCAACTTGGAAAGGCGTACAATGAAACAGACTCCAGCTCTGGTCCTTCAGTCAAAGACAAGTACGTCACAGCTCTGTACTTCACCCTGAGCAGTTTGACGAGTGTGGGGTTCGGTAATGTGTCTCCAAACACGAACTCAGAGAAGATGTTCTCCATCTGTGTCATGGTCATTGGATGTAAGTTGAATAACCAATGGTCATTGTATTTAAGTCTTTAGTTGGGTACTGGTACAACTTTATCATTATTACATCTGAAATGACCCAATCCTGTTTGTCTTCTTGTCCTCTTTCTCTTCTGTATCAGCTCTCATGTACGCCAGCATATTTGGCAATGTATCTGCCATAATCCAGCGGCTGTACACTGGTACAACCCGGTACCACACCCAGATGCTGAGAGTCAAAGAGTTTATCCGCTTCCATCAGATTCCAGGTAGTCTGCGCCAACGACTAGAGGAGTATTTCCAGCATGCATGGACATACACAAACGGAATAGACATGAATGCTGTAAGTAAACAAAATGGTAATGCTCCTTTGATGTTCTTTATCTCTCTTATTGTTACGTATCTTCTGACCGTATTTCTTTGTTCAGGTGTTAAAGGGATTTCCAGAGTCTCTGCAGGCAGACATCTGTTTGCACTTGCACCGCTCTCTGCTACAGAACTGCAAGGCTTTCCAAGGAGGCAGCCAAGCATGTCTCCGTGTCTTATCTGTGAGATTCAAGACAGTCCATGCACCTCCTGGAGATACTCTGATTCACTATGGAGACATCCTCGACTCTCTCTTTTTCATCTCACATGGTTCCATCCAGGTCACCAGAGAGGATGTAGTGGTGGCCATATTAGGTAAAGCTATATAACCATACATTATTTTACTCCTTAAGTCCTCTCAAAAATGACCTTCTCAAATCAAATAAATCTTTGTCCTCTTACAGAGAAGAATGACATCTTTGGTGAGCATATCCACCTTTATGATGAGCCAGGGAAATCAAGTTCAGACCTACACACCATCACCTACTGTGAACTGCACCGCATCCTTAGGGATGACCTTCTTGAGGTCCTGGATATGTACCCAAGCTTTGCAGACAACTTCTGGAGGAACCTGGAGATAACCTTTGACCTGAGAGATGTACATTGACAGTTTATTGTAACACACTTCACCTAATGCTAAAAACAGATATTTTATACTGTCACTTTGGTGAGATAATAAATATTTTTTTCTGTCGTCTTTAGGCTGATCAAGAGCCACCAGTAATAATAGATGATGATTCTGGTGATGACTGTGAATACCACCACAAACCAAGATGCAAAATACACTCACTGGACTGCAGAAATAGGCCAGGTGAGATATGAAATGCATAGAAAGTCGTGCAAACAAAGCAAACAATGTGAAAAGCCATTTCAAATCCTGACTTAAATGGATGGACATTGAATCATACTGAGATTATCCATGGAATCCAAAGATGCTTTAGACATGCCTGTAAAACAGGCCTTACAGATTTGAAAAGTTTTACACCACCACCACCACCACCTGTGTTTCAACTTGACTTGTAATTGAGCCAACTCTGGCTGCCTGACACCCCAAACTGTGGGTGTCATGCGTGGGAAAACTGTAACTGAAGGACAGAAATGCTTTTCTTTGAACAGATGGAATTGATCACGAAGACTCGTATCCCCTTCAGGCCTGCCATCAGTCATTTTCTCATGCCTGCTGGGAGGACAGTTGTAGCTGTGGATCGTCATGTTCGCAGGCAAGTGAGGACTTTGAAAAACCTCTTGCCCATGGTGCCAAAACAGAGCATTACTCTGCAGAAGCTGACAGGCAGGATTACTCTTCATCTGCACTACAACTGCACCCCCAAAGTGGCACCTCAGTGGGGAAGGATGCAGTGTTTGACCGGGGTCCTCAAGGTAGATGGCAGTCTTGATTTTGTCATGCAATTGCAAGATATAAATTTAACTGCAGTCTTGATTGTTACCCTGTTTGAAAGGTTTTGGTTCTTTTAAACGTGTCACTTTGAAGCACTGTCTTGATATTTTCCTCAGCCTCATCTCTGAATGTGCCAGGGATGTATCAATACTGGTCAGACAGACAATCACAGCAGTTTTCCAGTCAAGCCTGGCGATCACCTTCTGTCCGCAACTCATGCCACCCACCACCATTCACAGAAGAAAGGCCCAGTGAACTTGAGACACGCCTTGAAATTTTGCATTCACAGCTCAACAGGTGCATTTGCTACCGTTCACCTTTTGATCTTTGCTACTTCTGAGAAAAAGATACGAGGAGTGACTTTGGCTCAAAATGTCACTCCTCAAATGTTGCATTGCCTAAATTCCCTCAGTCAATGAATTTTCTGTCTTATCTTAAAATGGGTGATGAGTTAACATTTACATCACCCAAGAATCTTGAAAATTTGCACAAATTCATTTTGCATGTATACATCAGCAATGTGACGAGCCTTGCTGTAAGTAATAGAACCAATGGCTTAGCGAAGGAATCCTGACGTAACCCTGAGCATTACATTTCTACACCTGAACAATTAACATATCTGTAGAGAGTTTCTTTAACAAGCAAAATATTCAAAAACTATCTATACTATATTCATTTCCATATGAGCATCACTCCAAGCCATACTTTTTTTTAGTTCCATCTAAGACTTTGAGCACTTTTTGAATTTTTCTTTGTTGAAATCTGACTTTATGCAAAAAGTTAAATTAAATTCCAGTTTTCATGTCTTGTGTTCAGCACAGAACTCAATTGAAATCAACAGCAGAGAGGAAAATATTCATGGCTCTCCAACGACTTTGTATTATGTAGAAGTCCCTCCTTACTCTTTGTTTGTTACCCCCAAAAATCAAACAACTGGTTAATGAGTATACATTTTCCCCTTGTGACAGGTGGTTACCAGATGGTTGTGGACTCGTCTGTAAGCCCATATGACTAGGCCATTAGCAATCGATTTCCCAGCAACTGCTACCAGCCTCCAGCAACCAATTGCCAACCAGTGGAGGATTACATATTTTCTCTCACAACTGGTGGTTACTAAATGGTTGCAGACCAGTTTCTAGTCCTAGGTGTCATTGAAATCTTAATCACTTGATTCTACTGTATTGATCACTGCATGTGCAAAATGGTGAAAAGTTAATGTCACATGTTTAGTGGTTACATGTTTCCAAAGCCTCAGTACTAGCTTGCTATATGTAGTTAACTTTTCTACAGCTAACTGAAAATAAGGTGCTAAAATCTTCCTGAAACATAGCCAGCATAGCATAGCAACATAGCATTTTGGACAGATAACATCATTTTGTTAGTTTTTCTGTTACATATTGCACAGGCAATAATTTTTCCCTGCAGTGAGGGTAGTTTTCATAGTACGATAAGTTACATTACATTACGTTGGAGTCAAAATTTATCATATTTGCACAAACATTTTGAGCCCTAAGTTATCAGTTTATGCTAGCAAGCTCTAGTAAATTGCAGTTTTGAGACTATATGTTAAATTAATGCTAAGTAAAATATAGAGAAAATAATCAAATTGAACTCACCAAAACAAGAATCAGACAGCATGGATCTGTTAAGTTATTAATTACATTAACTATCTACACAGCTAGCCATATTACATGTTCTAAAAGGCATCAGCACTACAAACACATTCAACGGGGGCGGATTGTAACTTTGGTATATTCATATTTTAAGAATATCCAGTAGGCTATTGCAGCCTGCATTGGCAACCACCTGTCAGTCTATGGCATGCCTCTAATTATGCAAACTTTCATTTGGAATAAAGTTTAAAACCAACACGTCAACAAGCAAAATCAGCAGGACGTAAACATGACATTATTTCTGGTGTAAATTTAAGCATGTAACATTTGGGTCTGGACATGCAATTTATTATCACTTTGCTTCATTCTTCTCATACTTCCACCATCTTTTAATTAGTACCTCTTATTTCCTCAGACTGGAGACTCGCATGACAACTGACATCAGTGTTATTCTGCAGCTTCTCCAGAGACAGATGGCCCCTGTACCTCCAGCTTACAGCACTGTATCATCTAGTACTCTCCACGCTGATTCCCCTGGCCTGTATGGGGCTGGAACTCCAGTGCTGCATAACATGTATCCCATTTCCCCCATACAAATGGACAGCTTGGCACCGACACAGGTATGGTATCAAACCAAAAAAAAACACGACAATTCATCAGTTAGGCCAAATATCTGAAAAACACTGTTATATATCTGAAACGCATTTCATTTTCTTTCATCTCAACATTTTGTGCTTATTTACTAAGACCTCGGCTGAGACAGACCTTAAGCAGACCAGCAAATCCCAGGACTCACTGTCCAGTGGGATCCACGTGACTGCGGCATCTGATGACACCATGTTCATGGCTATCACCCCTGAAACTGACACACATACTGGGCTAACTCCTCAGCTACCCCAGCCATCAGTCAAATCCTCCCTCATGGACAGTTCCAGGCTGTGTGGTAACCTCCGCTACCCCTCACTACCAGAGAGCCTGGACATACAATCACGATTGGCAGAGATCCAGAAACACCTCTCGGATCCTGTCCTCCCCATCGTCTGACAGTCAGTGTCACCTACTTCTTAAAGACATTTAGAAGGAGCTCTGTGACCAGTCCATCCGTTTGTCATTGAAGAATTATTTATAATTACACTTTTTACTTTACTATTACTTTGGACATTGGACAGTGTTGAACACAGACAGTGCTTGCAAACAAGGATTTTACACACTGCCCAGCCAAAAAACAGCAGTCACCATGTGGATTTACCTAACCAAATACGAAAGACCCCCCCACTGGATTCGGGGTCTAGGTTCACCAATGTTATGTGCCCAAAAAACGAGGTCAGCTGACTACCTGAATATACAGAATGATTTTTTTTCTCTGATGATGGCACGGGAATATACCAATCTGACAATGCCAGGATTCACCAGGTTTAAAATGAGCGGTTCAGGGAACATGGAGGATAGATTGGCTACCACAGAGGCAAGACCTTAACCCCAGTGGGAATCTTTGTGTGTGCTGGAGAAGACTTTAGCAGTCTGACTCCCCCATCACCCATCATCAATACAATTTTTTGGTGAAAGATTAATGCAATTCTGGATGGAAATGAATAATAATTATCACTTCTTAAAACCATGGGGAAAGTGTGCCATCATCAAAGCTAAAGCCAGCCCAATGAAATATTAGCATGTGACTTGTTCTTTGGCTGGGCGGTGTACTTCCTTCACACTTGCCTAAAGAAATAAACTTGAAAACACTTAATACTTTTGAATGAACAACTAACAGAAAGGTTGTTATATTTTATATAGATAACTGCTAATCCAGAAATGTCACCTCAGCAACCTTAGTGAGTGGCGTCCCTGTTCATGTATGGATAATGATCTTTTTAAATTCTAAAGAATTTCCCTGCAGACCCATTTACTCTAGCCTGACCCAATACTGACACTTTGAGTCCACTATGTTTAGTGTAAATATTTAGAGAATTATGTTGGCCAAGATTAATCAGGTTAGGCTTGGTTTTATACACCTGTAGCAATCAGACTGAAAAAATATCCAAATTCAAAGATTAAGAGGTGTGGCTGATAATTTAGTTCACATAAAGTATCTTTAATATAATGCACTGCATTGCATAAATCCGCAAAGTTGTGTTAAGTAATTTTAATTTTATGTCAGCAACAATAGAAAATAATGAAGAGGGAATAGAGATAAGCTGAATTAAACAGCAGTTACTGACATAGCTAGCATCTTTGATCTTGTACCAGTAACTTCCCTGTAAGAAAGACTAGGTGTTGATTTTCTTGGTATTATTGTAGGGTCTTGGATGGCACCAGCGGTGATTACTGGAAGTGTTCCTGAGCCCTGTTTTTACCTGTTTTTAATGCAGTGTCTTTTAGAGATATATTGTACTGTAGATGATGTGATTTGAAAGTGGGAATTTTACATAGAGGACACTGTTCCGAAATGTATACCATTTTTGCAGATTACTGAAACTCTGCCTCTCCATTTTCCTCTTGTTACCTGTTGCCGAAAGCAAACAGGATGACACACAGTAGTAAACATGGCCTTGTCCCAGCTGTTTCCAGATGTGTTGCTAGCACTTAATTGAAAATTAACTAATATTTTTCACTAACTAGTAAAATTTGTTGTAGCAGATAGCGATCCAGTCAGGCTGGGTGGAAGCCCACTGGACATTATTGATCTGTCCCTCGGCTGTGTAGGCCAGTATGGGGTCATCCGCTACACAGAGGACGAGGAGATGAGATTTCAATCAATTTATCTTATTTAGTCTGGGAGAAAATAATGTGAGTAGACACAACATATTCCTGTTCTGAGTCTGGTAATATCTGCAACCAGGCTTTCCTTTTTTGGCAGGAGGAAAGATGGAAAAAAAAATCTGCCCCAGATAACAGTATGGCTTTACTTGATTCTTTCCAACAAGAAATTAGTCAATGAGGTGGAAACCTTCACTAATCTGTTTCTTCTTCCCAAAGTATCACACACTCTGCAAAGTCATTATCTCAAATCCAACCTCTGATTCAGAAGATGTTTTCGCATAAAATACAAAATCTGAGACTTTTGCTGCTCAGCTCGTTCTTAAAGGGCTCCGTCTTGTGTTGAATCTCAGTTACTGCAGTGACATTCACATTTCAGATCAGGGGCGGGCAATTAATTTTTTCAAGGGGCCAAGGGGAAACTAGGGCCATTGTGGAGGGGCGCGCCTCTGAACTACTGGTCAAAGTAAATGAAAATGTGAAATGGGCCAACACAGTATCACTATTTAATCAATATGTCTGTGTAGGTTCTCACCCATCTGGGTCATGAAAAGCTTGAAAAGAACACAACTGGATATCTTTAAGTTTTCTGAAGACAAAGGATAGTGGACTGTTTGAAAGAAGAAAAGAAAATCCAGCAGTGATACTGACTGAAGTGCTCTGCAAGTCAAAGTCCAACAAACTCTGATTCAGTGCTCTTGCCCTGATGAAGTTAACTATTTTAGCAACATTGTTAATTTTTAGCACTCACACAACACCTGAGTTGTAATACAATGCAAAAGTACCAATTTCAGAATTCATTTTAGTCACTTTATCTTGCTTTCATTTCAAAAGTCAGACAATTTCCCGTCAGATCTGAACAGTGCAGTAACTCTAGTCCCTTTCACTGAGTGCATTGTTGCCAGCTCCTCTGTAATCTCGAACTCTTGTGTTAGACCCCTACAAAGGTGAGTAACTGGGCTGTGTTGCTGATATAAAAAAATGCATTTACAGTGAAGCTGCATAATAAATAACACAAGTTTAACAATTAAATTTTTATAAAAGAAGAACCCCCTTCAAAATAAAAAGCAACACAGTTGTATTGTGATTTTCCACAAAAAAATTGCAAAAAACTGTAAAGCATTATCTGATGGGGAGTTTATCAAAGAGCGTTTGGTGGCTAAAGTAGGACAGACTGCATGTTTTATAATTATTTACATCTAAATCTTAATTTCCCATTGACCTTAGGAGGGCCAATCAAATGTACCAGAGGCCTAGGTTTCCTTTAAATAACGATATTATGCAGTGCTCTAAAAACTACAATCAAGTGTTTTGCTACAGCTGCCTACCTGCAGTACAGATGTGACAGGAGGAATGTGGCGCCCAGGCGATTCCGTTCACACAGGCCCTGTGGTTGTTGAGTCTGGCTACCGGAGTACAGGGTACACGCACGTCTAAAATCACCACCTGAGGATACACAGCGACGCTTTACATTTTTAGAGCTTCTCTTAAATTGACTTTTCAATACAAAATAAAAGGAAAAAATGGTTAGATTGACATTTCCACTGTGCAGTTTCATGATCTGAGCAGGAGCCCTTTAAATGGAGCAGCACTAACCTCCAAGCTGTCCATCGCCATGGTAGCTAAGTAGTTGGGATCTTGCTTGTTCCAGCAGAGTCGGAGCAATGGGTGATGCTGTGGGTCGTCGTAGATGATTGTGCTGTGTTTGAGGTGTCGGAGGTCAAACATGCGGACCGAGCCATTCGCACCCACAGAGGCAAACGTATCCCTGCCCCCGCCTGCTCGGCTAAACGAGATGTCATACACCTGCGATACAAGCAGACAGTGGCCCACATGAGTCTGTCACTCCAACATGTTTGTTTTAAAGGACAGCGCTTCAATAAAGTTTGATGGATCATCTAATAACTTTTACCTCCTTGTCATGAGCTATGAGCTGTGTCTTGACGTGACCTGTCACCAAGTTGACCCTCCCCAGCACCTGCCCAGTCTCCAGCCCCCAGATTGTACAGGTGGTGTCTATACTGGAAGTACCTGCACAGGTCATGCTGGAATTTCTTAGTAATGATTACTGAATAGATTATAAGAAACATAATGCCTCTGTAGTAGTGATGTGTCGGTCGCGAACGAAATGGCTCTTAGAGCCGGATCTTTGACGTGAATGACGCGAACCGACTCCTTATCGCGAGCCGTGGGTTGTTTTTTTTTCTTTCTCTCACCCTCTCTCTCGCACTTTTTTTCCGCTTCACTCCGCATGCAGCCTTGTGCTTTGCGCTGGGCAAAGGGGGGGAGGGGCGGTAGTTACACTCAGTAGCACAGGAACAGAGCAGGAGAGAGAGACAGAGAAAGAGAGCCGGGACAACAACCTCACATTAGAAAGGTATAGTAATCATCCACAACTATTTTCAGTTGCAGATGATAAAGGATTCAGAAAGTTTATTCATGCAGGTCCATATGACAGAGAATATGCATCTTCTTTTTGTTTTCATATTATAATTTATATTTAATTGTGTTGTGGTTTGCAGTGTTTTGTGTTGTTTCACTTTAAATTTGTTTAAAAGAAAAAAGCTGAAAATTTAAATATTGAAATGTGAATAATTGGTTTTTGTATTATATGATTTATTTATTACATTTTATGTGGAGTGAATAAATAAAAGTATATTTACTGTGGCCCCTAGAGACAAAGCATGTACAAACTTCAAAACACGTAAAAACTCCATAACACGTATAAACTCCAAAACACGTACAAAACACAACAGAAGTGCTCCAGGATGCTAGGGCGCAGTGTTGAGCTTTTGTTACCTAGTGGCTACACAAGCCAGGAAGTACCAACGACCGTATTTGATGTGTGGTAGTAACAGGTAAATGAACATTTTTTTTAAATCATTTGAATATATATGAGTGCTTGTGTATAAATACAAAAACAATACACATATGCTTTCAATTGTGTAATTTAAGTGATCTAAGGAGCTCTGTTTTGGAAGTTAAGTTAACGCTAGAAATGTGTTTTGGAATTTGTACGTGCTTTGTCTCTAGGGGCAACCGTAGGCTTTGTCTCTCGGAGCCACCGCATATATTTATATATAAACATATATAAATAAAACCACTTTTTTTTTTACATTAGTAATTCCTTTTGTGCATAATTTTATATTTTATATTATTGTTAATAATAAATTAATTAAACAAAACAACCCGAAGAGCCGGTTTGGAGCCGAAAGAGCCGGTTCTCTAAAAAGAGCTGGAAATCCCATCACTAGTTCATAATACGGCAGCAATGGCGGCAACCGGAGGACAAAAATAGTATAATGATGAGCGTCATGGAGGCGGCTAGTGCTGCTTTCAAGGACCAACAGGGGTATTTGCAATTACTGCAGGAAAGAACAAAAGGACTCAGAAAGGAGTGTTTCAGAAAAGAGAGCTTTGATTCTCGTGCGATTTAAACAGGTAGTGCTGTTAACTATATGTTACATTACATTACTGAAAAATAAGCAAGTTGAGTTAGTAATAAAATGTAAATGAATCATCAATCTCACGTCTTTGCTTTGGTTTTTTACGGTGTTTAAGTGCCACTTTTGTTCATCTTAAAAAAAAATTTATTCTTAACTTACTTTGTGTTTTATAATATTTATTTGACGTTAGAGTGGTAAGTTTACGAGAGGCAATGGAAGGTAGCACTGCAGACCTGAGCAGCTGCAAATAAAACCCAAATAAAAGAAATTCCTTAACACAGCAGTTCCTTGAATGAACCTGAGGGAGCTATCTCCCATTTGTTGTTGTGATACCTACTCTACTAAAAGATCCAGATGTTTCTACGCCTCCACGAACACATTAGTAATTTTCACCAGAACACAACAATTTATTTTATCATTTGAAAGTGAACTTGGAGGACCCTTAACAGTATGCGTAGGATTATTTGTCAGCACTGACAGCATTGCTATTTTTTCCAGCTAACACCCGAAACATTTGTTTGCCCAGTCCTCATGCATGCTTCTGTGAGAGTTTACAAAACAATGTGTGCAAATTCGGATTATATTTGCATCACTTCCAAATACATTTGACATTCAGTATTTACTCAGCTCCTGGCTGGAATTTATCATAGATCTGTGGTAGACCTATAGTTTTGATTAAAACCTTTGGTCGGCATCTGTTATAGAATATGGCTTTTTAAAAAATTGTTATTAGCCATGTCATTAGATTAGTTGCAATGAAAGAGAACATACAGTTCTCCGACCTTTCACTACACAACATAAAGTAGTATATTAAATACACATTTGTACTACTAGAAAAACTCAGTGTGATTTGGACAAGGGAGCTGTGAGAAAAAAGGTATTCTTACAATTTAACATCTCCCACCCCATCCAGGAGACTCTGACAGCACTGAGCAGCTCCTTCAGTGGCAGGCTGCGGCACCCACAATGTGGGACGGAGGTCTTTCCTTCCTACTGCTGTCAGACTCCACAACAAGGACTTCTCAGCTGACCAAACACACACATCCACACATGTGCAATAGCAATAACACTAAGTCCGATTCCCTTTTTCTGACAACATTGTATTTTATTCTGTTGTATTGTGTACATGATCTTATTCTTATTATCCTATCCTATTCCAGTGATTGTTTCTTAATTTTTGCTACTGTAACTTTGCACGGTCAACTTTCTGTTGTAACAAAATTAATTTCCCACGGGTGGGACTAATAAAGGTTATCTTATCTTATCTTATCAGGGTAAAGGTTGTGTTGGAGTCACTGGCTGTCAGAGGGTGAAAAGTGGGGTATGCTCTTGATAGGTCACCAGTCACTCACAGTCTAAATGTACTCACTAGTTAAAAACACTTAATTGTATATTGTTTTTCATATCCTTTAAGACAACCAGTTATGGCATTGCTCAGCTGTTCTGGTATGTATTCAAAGATCCTGAAAATCTGTTTTTGAATCAAAAGAACGACGTGGTGAATATATATGAAATAAACAAAAAACACCATAAATCACTGTATCATGAATTGCTACCAGGAAGGTGTAATATGTTAGCATGCTATACTAAACGAACATGGTGAACTTTGGTGCCAAAGAGGCCAACAAATTCACAAAACCGCAAGCAATTCTTCACTCTATTGTTGGTATTGTTGTTGAATCATTATGCCAGCCCAACTATGTCTTTTGTCTTTCTGTCTATATCTCCTGGGTGATGTACCTTTGCTTTTTTTCCAAGATGATTTGCAAAACCTCCACTAACGCCACATCATTAATTTGATGGATGCTTGGCCGCATTTATATGCAGCAGTTCCAAAACGTTTGATGCATTTGTCCAGGCAGCACATAGCACTAGAACGTCACTGCAAATACTTCTCTGACCTCTATCTCGCTGATCTTTCATCTTTTCTCTCAACTGCTCGGCTCAGCAATGTTGCTAGATATATATCCTCAATACAAGCGTGTGTCCAACAGCTCAGCTGCATCTGAATTTGTGTGGGAAAAGTTTGACTTTTCCTGGTGTGATGGTGTTAAATCTAACGTGTATGCTTGGGCTTTTTGTTCAGTGTTGTGCTTTGTTTTTGGTTTTCCTGCCACTGTTGCAGTCCTCTGGGAGATGTTTAAAATATGCAGGAGAAGTACATCGTTATCACCTAATGACTTTTTCGTACTTAACCTCTCCACCATGGATGCTATCTTCTTGGTTTTCATTCCACCTGGAATAATGAATCATTTTATTTGGATGTATTGGGACTTTGAAGCAGTTTGGAACAGTGTTTATGCCTTAAATACATCTGGAAGACCGCTCCTGATGGCTTGTACCTGTCTCGACTGTTACCTGGCTGTGGTTCATCCAGTCGTTTACCATAAGAGGAAAGGTCTGGCTCCCAGGGTTGTGATGGCTGGCATTGTTTGGACTCTCACGATCGCATCTGGGATTGCATACTTTCTTGTCTACAAGTTGTACTACAGCATGTTTCCAGTTGTGGTATTTTTAATTGCCTTTGTAATAATTGTTATCTGTGATAGTTTCATCATCCATACACTGAAAAAGTCTGGCCCTGGCAGAAACAACATCCACCCCCAGAAGCAAAGAGCCATTCAAACTGTCATCTTCAGCCTAGTCATGGTAGTCATCTCTTACCTTCCTCCAATACTTCTCTTTTTAATCGGGGGACCTCTGATGCCCAGTGACAAGATGTTCATATGTACTATTGGTATTCCTATTACAGTTACCTCCACTTTGGGATCTGTTGTTATGCCCCTACTCTACCTTTATAATGCTGGAAAATTGGATTTTTTTAAAGGTTGGATGCTGCAAGTTGTAATTTAAGCATCAGTATTTATTTCCACCCAAACAGTCAAAACTACTAGCTGTATTTCTGTGTATCTGTCGCCTGTTGTCGAATGTTTATAAGATTCTCTAACTTCATATTTACAGGTCTTCCCTTTTATATAATTCTGTATGTGTGTTACACGTTGGATCTAATATTTTATTTGGGCCAATAGGAAAAAAAGTTGGAATAACAAAACCATGGGAAAACAAACCTATACATTTAATAATGTACAGTTAAGACTTGTGTTTGGGACCTGTGTGCTTTATCAGATGTTAATAATAAAATGAGAATGGCTGTATTATGCATTTAAGCTGTGTTCCTCCACAGTAGAGAATAGGTGGGCAATAATGACTCTAATTAAGCAATTCAGGAGGTTTTTCTCCCATTAGACCAACAAGACAGAATAACAAGGCATGTTCTTCTGTTATTATGCAGAGGGAAGGTGTTTTGAAATTAAATTTTGCTGATTTTTTATTTGCAAACAGCAGTTTTTAAATCAAGTGTGTCTGTCTATGCTGCTGTGTTTTAATAGTCTTAAAGTTTAATAACTTTAAGACTATTAAAAACTTAATAGTTTTAAAGTCACTTATTATTAAATAGCTGAAAAAGTAAGAACATGTGCAAGAAGGGTGTAGCTGTTGCAGTAAACAGTGTGTTAAGGCAGGAAAGATTTCCTGTGTCGTTCAGTGGTGCTTTTCGGTAATCTCAGTCTCTCACTGAACGTGCTCCTGTGACTGACCAACATGTCATGGAGTGGGTGGGAGGTGTTATCCAACATTGTCTTTAT